GAGAGCATTGCAGATGCTGGTTTAACTTATGAGAATCGGTTACGGCAAGAAATGTTCGAATCGGTGGACAGAATTATACAAGAAATTAAGACAAGATTTCAACAGCTAAACGAGTTAGATATCAAGTATAATTTTCTAATACCGACGAACTTACTTAACCCGGAATATAAGTGTAACTTGGGAAATGAGCACTGTGACATTGATGTTAACGAAATCGAAATCGAGAGGGAGCGATTACGCAATTTTCTTGCTTTGGCTGATGCTAAAGTTCAAGTTGACGCCAAGAAAGGACCGCTAGAGCTCCTAGAATTCATACAACAATATAACTATGGCATTTGCGTGCCAAATATCGTGATTATGCTTCGAATTTTTTTAACTATAGCTATCAGTGTAGCTTCTTGTGAACGTAGCTTCTCGAAGCTGAAATTAATAAAAAATTACTTGCGGTCCACCATGAGCTCAATAAGATTGAGTGATTTGGCCATTTTGTCAATAGAACAAAGCGTGACGGACAACATTAATTTTGAAGAAGTTATTAATGATTTTGCTGCGCGTAAGGCCAGAAAAGTAGAATTTTAGTTTTATAGTTTACAACAGTATACTTTTCACGTTCACAGTTTACACGTGACCTGTATATTATATGGTTTGGAAATAAATATTTTTTCGCACTGTTCTTCCAGATGATTACGTTATTTTTTTTTTCACCTTCACCAACATGATTATTTTTTGACGTCAAAGGGGCGGCAAATTATGATTCCGCCCCGGGCGGCAATGACCCAGGCTACGCCACTGAGAAAAGTATGTTCCTCTTCGAAGAGAAGCACAAGACAAATCAGTTTTTATAAGCTTTTGGAAATACCATTAACCTTTATAAATTGCAAGTAGCTGATCAATGATTCAAACTTAAACGAATCCTAAAACTCACCAACAGAGGATACAGCACCATTACAGAGTCCATGAAGACAAGTCCCTTTGGAAGTTTTCACTGACACTTTTTCACTAATCCGTGCGTGTTCGATCAAGAAAATCACTCGCAAACGCTTATCTTCTTTTTACCGATCAATTTTATCGATTGTACTGCGTTTTTATCGTAAAAAACACGACAGTTGAGGCGAATTTATGAAAACGGCGTATAAATATGCCGCGTACCCGCCAAAACTGTTTTAAGGAACAAATGAATATCGGGCACAACGGGTTGCTAGATATTTTCCGAGAATTGGGATCGAAATTATAGTCACGTCGATTTAGTGCACCGATGCGAGCAAATAGTATCCTACACTAAAACCAAGTCCAAGATAGAGTTGATGTAAACATAGTCATGCACTGCGCACACGTATCCCGAAGGCTGACAGTTTGTACAGAGTCGTAGTCAGAACCTTTTTGCGATGATTCAATGATTCCAAACGATTTATCGATTGCAGATGCTATATCTTAGAAAAAATTCTTCATGATTGCGACTGAGGTAAAATATGACAGATCTATAACAAAATGTGGCCACTATGTGCACTATAACAGATTTCCATCGGATTTTCCATAAATCATAAAAGCCATTTGAAAAGGAATGTAATCAGTTTAATTCTACGTACAACTATAAACATTGTTTATCAGAATGTTGAACTGGAACTGTCATCCTCATCACTTGTATCATTCTGGCCAAATTCAATTATCAGTAGTTCGACTTGTCTTTCTAAAATATTATCGAGCTCCCACATCTTTGTCTCGTCTTTTGTGCCGAACACACTTGTCCCATTTCTCGGCTCCGATTCTGCTTAGGGCTTCATCAAAAAGTACCTTGAGGTCGGCAAATTTATACGTGGTGTTATGTTGTGCCACAAAGTTTTTAACATCCGCCCATATGAGCTCTATGGGATTTAGCTCACAGTGATATGGGGGCAGACGAAGGACTGTTTTGTTATGGCTTGCTGCCATCTTATCGACTGCATATTTTTCGTATGCAGCCTTATGCTCTTTGACAATTTTCAATACCTGGACTCTTAGCATTTAGTCCTCAAAGCTGATATTCAACCAATTTTGTATTTCAACCTTTTTCTATGACGTCGTCAGGATTTTCTCTATTCGTCGAGAATGGTATGGCGCATTGCCCAGTACAATTACTGAGTTGTCTTCCAGGTATGGTAGGACATTGGAAAAACACTTTTCGAAAGATTCCCCGTTCATTTCTTCGTGGTAGTCACCTGTTTTCTTTGACTCGAAACACCACAGCCCTTCAGCAACAAACCCATTATCATAGCCAATATGACAAACAATTAGTATTTTTCCTTTACCTGGAAGTGAGAACTGATATGTAACTTAATAAAACACCATAGTGATAAAATAAAATTCGGAAGAATAAACTGGTCTCCGTCGAGATTTGAACTCGAGGCCTTCTGCTTTACGCGCAGATGCTCTACCACTGAGCTACAGATGCCTGAGAGCCTAGATGGCATAACTTCAATGTAAGATACAAGGTTCTAAGAATCTGGTTCGCCAACAATACGATGTAATTCAGATACAAACATAGCAGGCGTAGTTAAGTCCGGAAAGAGAAGACTGTTCAGCCAACGTAAACTAGTGTCATTAATGTTATTTTAAATTCGGAATTCCTGGTCTATGCGTGGAAAAGTAAAATATTGTAGAAACAAAATGATTTCAATCAAAAAAATATACAAGCTAAGAAACGCTAACGTTTTCTTGATTATATCCTGAAATATCAAATTACTCTGAAAGAAAAAATAATTTAAAGGATGTTCAAGTATCTTTTGTACTAGTATTTTATAAGTTACGATTAAAAGTTTACCTGATGGATTTTTCAAACCAGTGGACAGTTCATCTAGAAATGCCCTCCTAGATGAGGTCACGGTTTCATCGACCCATACCTTAGGAGTAGTATGACGAGCATTAACCCAAGTTTCATCCAAATGATAAATTGTCCTTTTTTGCTCCCTATATTTTTTGATTTCGGTCAAATATTCTCTTCTCCAGATAATGAGTTTTTCCCTATCCAATAGAAAACTATTGCGTCCTCGTTTCTTCCATTTGAAATTTAAATGTTTTAACAATTTATTAAATGTAGACGCTTGAAACTTGGCAACATAGCATCTTCATTTACTTGTGCGAGTACTTTTTCCACTGTGGGTATTTCATCTCTAAAAAAGTATTCATGAACTTTCCTCCTTATTACATGTTTATCAGCCTCATCTATCGATTTTATAATGCATGGACGATTTTGGTTTGTCTTAGTTTTGGAAACTTTATATTCCCTCAAAACATTAAAAATCGAAGCGCGACATACTCCAACTCTATCAGCACCTTTCGAAGCGACGTCTTCGACCGAGGATGTTCCATTTCCTCTATCTCCTTTTTGAACACATTCAAAATAACCTCTTTCATCTCGATACTCAAATGTCTTCTTTTGGATCGTTTTCTAACTGGACTCAAGCAATAACTCACAGTCTCGTCAGCAGTATCCGTACTGGACATCTTGGATTACAGATCACAGGAATATATAACAATAACAAATGATAATAACTATAAAAAATCTAGCAAATACAGTAAAAACTTAACAAAAGCAAATGAAAGCCGCGAAATAAAGAAATACTAAAAAAGCAGGATGCACGCCAACACGCCACGCAAACGCCTAATTGCGACTCTGTATTAACGGCTACTCCCGTACTGACGCGGCAGCGGTACGGCGGCACCGCGGCGCACCAATGAGCGCTGCCGTGTCCACCTGTTGCTGGCCGATCACGTGAATATCACGATTGGCGTTTGTTATGTTCAACTCTATGTTGGACGTTGGACTTGGTTTTAGTTTAATAATTTTAAAAAAATCAAGTAAACAACGTCAATATTTGGATGTGCGGATATGGGACTTGGGTGCCTCATGCATTGAAATTTCCACATTAGAATTAGTCTTAATGTAAAAAGAGAGATTTTTATCAAATAGATTGTGTCAAGCAAACTGAATATCATATTAACAAAAGTCTGTAGTGTTGCTAGATATTTTCCGAGAATCGGCATCGAGATTATAGTCAAGTCGATTTAGCGCACAGATGCGAGCAAATGGTATCCTACTAATATTAAAAAAGTTAAGTAAATAACGTCAATATTTGGATGTGCGGACGCTCCACAAAATTTGCATACAGAGGCGCGCGCAGTAGGATTTGGGAGGTGGGCTTTACCTCCTCATTCATTAAAATCTCCTCGTTAGGATTAGTCTAAATGTAAAAAGACAGATTTTATCAAATAGATTGTGTCTAGCAAACTGAATATCATCATATAACAAGTCTGGTTAAGATGTATAATTTCTTATGCCCATTTTACATTGACAATAAATCCACAGATTTCTCCATGAATTGAGTTCATGGCCAAACTTCAAAGGCGTAAAACATGTATTTGACGTCAACTAAATCCATGAATGTCTTCATGAAATTATAACTTGTTCCAATTTTAGCCAAGTTGGACATCAAAAACCATGGTGCCAACCTTGTTTTCCTTTCTATTATATTGAACAACTTTTCAATTTAAGTATCGAACTTTGAAGGTACATTCTTCTGTTTATTAGATTCGACTCAAAACAATACACCACAATACACATAAAAACTCAAAATGTTTCTAGCAAGAATATGTTATGAGCACTGACAGATATGCCATGAATTTGTCCATTGATGTAAACGCGGCAAAACAAGTCAGGATGGCCTTGAAGAAATCAATCTGAATAAATAATTGTCGATATAAACGGGTCTAATATCTTCTAATCCTCTGGAAGCCCTTGGAGCTATTTACCATTATTATTGAAATTATCCAATAGCTGTATTAAATACCCGGAAAATATCCGCACACTTATATTATTAATTTTGCATTATGTGGAATGTTTTCAAAGTTAACCTTATGATGTATTTTTTAATCTGTAGTTTCTTTGTAATATCAACCACAACTTGGATGTAAAAATTATTGCACAAATTCAAGTGCGTCATGTTTTTCAAATAAATAGAACTTCGTCAAACTTTGGAAATTTCTTTATTTCTATTCTAAGTTCACGTTTTTAAATTCTACATACCTAACAATACATGAAAAATTAAACTTAAGTATACATTAAATTGTAGATCACAATTTTTGATAAAGTAATATCCTTAAAATTGTACTTATATTAAGATGCGTCGATATAGTAGTGCTCTCCAAACCATTCTTTATGCTCACTCAGAAAGCTGAAAAAAAGGAAAAAACCAATTACATAGCACTTCGATTACAAAGCTTCAAATATACTAATGGAAGCATGACATTGTACTCCTAAAAAGGCATTTTACACTTTTGGCAGGCACAACAATCCTCAGGATAAAATGTCACTTGCCAAATGATTTCAAAAGAGTTGTCCCAAATTTCATGCAAAAATTGAATTAAACAGAAAATACAGTTTTTTCTTTATATTTTCATATATATTTCCTCTTTCAAGGATGATGAATATGGTCCAGGGGGCCAATTTTGATCATTGAAATGAGAGACTACAACAGGAAATATCTCATGCAGTCACTGAAGAGTCTTTTGGACAGCATGACCTACTTCAATAAAAAATAATGATTTAATGAGAAAATTTGACTAAGCAGAAATGTATTCAATTAATTCAATAAAAGCAACAATTATGAACAAGCATTTGTGCTAAACTTACTCTATAATCATGTCAATATGTCGAAGCAACACTTTAAGTGTCTCCTCAGCAATATTGGAAGCAGTCAGTAATTCTGGTAGTTTGACAAAGAGCCTTGCTAAATGGGTGGCGCCATAAACCATGCATGGTGGTGGAGGTTGCTGCTGAAGAACATAGTCTGGAAGCAGATGCCACGTCAGTGTCTTTGTAATTGGCCCAGCAAAATCGGAACTGCCACTTGCAACACTAGAAATAAAATGTTTACAATTACATGATATATTCTTAGAGTATTGGTTAATGTATTCTACCTGCAGATAGCCAACCTGATACTATACTCAAAAAAATCCGAGAAGGGAATGAGAGAAAAAATGTCAATCTAGTTTATGCAGAAGACTCAACAAAGGAATTATGCCTTAGCCTGGCTTCGCTCTTAAGTAGTACCAGTATACAAAAAAGGTGGTAGATATCTAACATTAAACTACAGACCTATAAGCCTTACTTGAAATCCTTGTAAACTCATGGAAAAAATGCTCACTTCAAAAGAACGTCATATCAGACACGCAACATGGATTTTTACCTGGATCGGTGATTTCCAACTTGATCTCTGCTTTAGAACAATGGACTACTATCGACGACGAAGGAAATCCAATCGATAAAATATATCTTGATTACGAAAAAGCTTTTGATAAATACGATTTATAAAATTGAGCATTTTGGTGTACGAGGTAGGATTTTAGCTTTGGTTGGATAGAGACATTTTTTACGAACAGAACCTTCCAAGCAAGAGCAAATGGGGTTCTAAGTGACCCACACCCAGTGCTGAGTGGTGTTCCACAAGCCTCTGTACTTGGACCTCTTCTATTCCCTGTTTACACGTCAGATTAATGGATATAAAAACAAACATTTCATTACAAAAGTTCGAATTTACGAGGGATGTCTTTTTAAGTTTTGCATATAGAAACATAGTAGGCCGCGCGGATCGAGAGAATTCAAACGTGGACGGGTGAGTCTTAGCGACGATCCCAGGGTGGGTGCACCAAAAACGCCTGCACCCAGGAAAGCGTCGATGCTGTGCGCAAACTAATCATTGAAGATAGACTTGTGACATATCGCGAGATTGAGGCGTCCTTGAAGATCTCAAAGACCTCAATTCAAAAAATTTTACATGAGGAATTAGGAGTAAGAAAATTAGTTTCTCGTTGGATACCCCACATGTTGACTGAAGAGCAGAAAGCAGCCAAGGTTAATTGGTGTCAAAAAACGCTTGACCGTTTCAATTCCGGAAACTCAAAAAATGTGTACAGCACTGTTAGTGGTGATGAATCGTGGATTTACTGTTATGAACCAGAAAATAAACGACAGTCAGCTGTTTGGGTGTTCCAAGGTGAAGAAAACCCAACAAAAGTCATCCGTTCTCGAAGTGTTTCGAAAAAGATGGTCGCGACATTTGTGTCAAAAGCGGGTCATATTCCAACAATTCCTCTTAATGAGCAAAGAACTGTTACTGCGGATTGGTATAGCACCATTTGTTTGCCAAAATTTCTTTTCTTTCCCCAAAATTTAAAACAGACTGCGTGGTCAAAGGTTCCAGTCACCAGAAGAAGCAGTTGACGCATTCAAAAATGCCATTTTGGATCTACCAGCAAACGAGTGGAATAAGTGCTTCGAAAATTTGTTCGAGCGCATGCAGATGTGTATTAATCATCGTGGAGAATACTTGGAAAAATACCATACAAAAATTTAAGCTGATTTCTTGCTGTGCCTTAATTCTAATAACACAACTCGCATCTGTGTTTCAAAACCAATGATTTTTGATTAAACCAAATGGGTCTCACCTTGATCCTGGCTGAGTACTGTTACAATTATTATTCTCAGATGGAGATGCATTGCCATTTACTTGAGAATCACTCCTGTTTGACCTTAAAGTACGTCTCCTAGCAGTGACTCTGCTCAACTCTGTATCATTTGTTCCAGTATAATTGCCATTGTTACTATTTGCACAGCCCTCACTTTTTATCCTAAAATAAAAATTCATCATTAACGATAATTGAGTTACTCTCATGTTAATTACTCACTCAGTCTTGGTGTCCGAGCAAGGAGATTCAAAAACAACCTGCTTTGTTGCTATTTGACCTTTTTCAGGATCATAAAGAAGCAGATCATTTATTGAATTATCAAAATATATCCTCAGACCATCTAAGACTTCACGGCAGACTTGTAAGCTGAAATCAGAAAACACCAAATATACAAAGGGTACCATAAAAGTTTTGCAATGTGACTTAACAAACGGACGCAGGAGGCTACATGTTACTCCATGTTGAGACATATCCACCAGTGCATAGTAGCTGCCAGCACTACGTCTGTTGATTTAGTTTATCATTCGTGTTGACAGCGTAAAGTGCGGACTATGGAATCGTGGTCACGTAGTGAGATAATGGCAGTTTTACGGTACAATTTTACGCGTGGTTCAAGCAGAGACCAGTGCTTAGAAGAAATGACGCTTGCGTTAAAGAATGACTGTGCTCATCGTACGACTATATTCGGGTGGTACAGAGAATTCCAAAGGGGCAATTTCACTCTGGAGGGCGCTGAGAGGGAAGAAAGACCGCGAACGTCAGTAACAGAGGGACGCATTACTGCTGTGAGGAAAATGCTTGACGAAGACCGGAGAGTGACATACCAACAGATAGAGGGGACATTACACCTTCATGCACCAGCAATTCATTCAATTCTGCATGACCTTCTACAGCTAAGAAAACTTTGTTCTCTCTGGGTACCGCATAGTCTGACGGAAGAGCAGAAGGCTCGTCGTACGACTTAGTGCCGAAAGATGCTGAAAATGCTCCCTGCGACTTTGCACTGTTTCCGCATGTGATAACGAAGCTATAAGGAAAACGGTTTTCTAGCGATGAGGACCTTCTGATGGCTTGGGACAACGAGTGTGAAACTTGGCAGAGCTGGTTCAAGAACGGGTTTTGGCGGATGCAGAATTGAATATGGTGGAAATTACTTCGAACTAAGTCAATAAATAAACCTACATTGCCAAATTTTATAGCACCCTTTGTAGATAATAAGAAATGGCGACAAGTAGGAACTCTGCAGTTCCTACCCAACACCATCATCAGTTCATAAAGGTTTAAGTTCAGCACAAGTTAAATCCTCCGACAAAAAAATAGTTTACGATATGTACAACACATATATTAACTCGATCAAGTCAGTCGAAGAGGCCAAAACAAATAGTCCATAGGCTTTCTTTCAGTGCATTTGGCAACCTTGCCTCTTCCCATATCGTCAGACACGGCAGCGCCCATCGAAGAAGTGCCGCAGTTCAAGCAGACCGTTACGCCAGGCGCTGAGCCCAGATAGAAGAAGGAAATGCGTATCAAAAACATTTGTCTATCATTCTAAGTTTTAAAGACAAATGTACATGGAAACCTATGATGTGTGGAATGTGGCTAAAAAGTGCATAGAATTACCGGGGTTTGGAGCATATAAATATACTAACATCACAAAATTTAGATACGACTTCCCCCACCACCCCCAAATTTTTATCACTAATTTCTTTTTCAAAAATGATAAGGATCCTCCGAAATGCAACAAAAAGATGTTTAAGCGATTTTTATTTATTTTGTCTCCACCGTCATTGGACCAATTTTCAAAAACTGTAAAGCTTATACATCCTTGGAAAAATTTTCATCCAAATCCAAGCAGTACTTTTCAAGTTATAGAGGTGACAAGGCTTACCAAACAGACCAACAGACAGACTGACAGACAGATCGACGGAAAAGTAACATGGTTTTTTGTGATGTACATGTCATAACATCCGAAAAACAATATCTTGTTTTCGAAGTTTTTCTCAATTACAATCCTTCCTCGCCCAATGGCATAGGAAGTAAACATTGATATAATATAAAAAATGAAGCATACTTCTTTTGTATATCCTCAGGTTTGGGCTTTACATTATTCTGGTGGAATGGAAGAGGTCTATATTTGGGAGTAGATTTTTCTGTCAGTCCAACAATTTGATTTGTTACATAGTGTTTGTAATACTGTTCCAGAATAGATGCAACATGTGGTTCAACTGGTAACTTCAACAACTAAAAACAAACAAAAAATTAATCAACAGGGCTCAAAAATAATACAGTTGTTGTGCTTTCTCCAATGGAAGAAAACTAACTGCAATATAGGCCTTCAGTATGACATTGTCAAATCCTTCTCTAGCCTTTCACAGGACCAGAAGAGCATATTTGTTCCATGCTGAAATTTTTACCTTGTTGTACATAATCAGTTCACATATTGAAATATTCAAGTTGTAATGTAAATTCACCTTATTTTTTTCTTTAATTGCATAATAATCATACTCAAGGATCTCCCTTAGGTCTGGTGTAATTTCTATATGTATAATTTCATCTTCAATAGAAGAATCTTCCTCTGAGCTAGTAGTCATTCCATGTCCATCATCAGTATCCATTCTTGTAGGACTGTCCGAACTACCATCCTCTGAAGCAGATGCTCTTTCACTATTTTTCTGGCTCTTTTTGCGTTCTCTACGATATAAGTATGCTCCAAGTTGGAGTTGGGATTTTTCTGCTAGGTCTTTTTGTAACTGTCTGTTCTCAGGTGTGTCTTTTAATACAAACTCTTCATCAACACATCTGTCCCAGGACGAATTCCAACCCTAAAATGAGGCTTGTAAGGACTGATAGTTGAAATATTTTAATTAAATCATTAAAATATTCCTCCAGAAGATACTTGGTATGTTTATATTTGAATCTGTCATTGTAAAAACATTGAAGTCCATTTTTTTATCAACATGCGTGTTTAGTGGAAACGCTTCATTAAAGGTAGATGTGTATTCTGGAAAAACACTTTGTAAACCAGGATACTCCTTCCCCATTCAAATAACACAACGTAATACACATTCAGTGCAAAAACATCGGAAGTCCGGAACTTACCTAGTTTTTGCACGCACTAAACGATGGCGGGTACTTGAACGGGTCATTGCTCAATTTTCATATTTCTGTGCTGTATGCACCAGAATAAAAATTTTAAATTAACTACAGAGTAGAAGAATTCACATGTTTAAGAGTTTTCTTGTCTTCTACAAAAACTATTAAATCATTCTTATTTGTATGACTGAGAAGGTCCCTTAAATTGTATGTATTTTATAGATAGTAAAAAGATGAAATTAAACAGACAATGCTTAGCTTGCAATGTAATTTTTTTTTGTTGTTGAAAAAACAAGTCAATTCATGATTTATATGTAAAATGGGAAATTTTGACTTTGAGTTTCCAACTTGCCCGGGTTTTCCCTATGTACATAAAAAATATAAACATGCAAAATTTGAACATGTGTTAGTAAATCAATATTTAAGTGCAATTGTCAATAGTGAAAAATGAAAAATATGATTATTTTGCTCCTGTTATATAGTAGTAGTATATGTAGCCAAATTTCAAACTAAAGTTCACATGGCATGTCAAAAGAAGGTGGTACAATAAAATATCACAATAAATGTGAATCAAGTTAACATAGCTTGTTACACCACACTATAGATAAAACAAGTTAAAAAACAAGATAAAAAAGTACAATACAAGTTCATTCAGCAGGTCAAGGTCAAAACTACAGAAAAATAGTTACTTGTTAAAACAATATATAAAAGATATAGAATAATATACCTCTACCCCTATAGCCTACTAAAACAATTTTCATATTGTTTAACTATTTTATTTACAGCAAATGGAAATATATTTTCAAAATTACAAATCCTACAAAACAAAGCTATGAGAATCATTTTTAATAAAAGCAAATATGCTAAGATCAAGTCTATGTTAGAGGATTTGCAATGGTTATTTAGTTCTCATTTGCATATTTAAATTAAAAAAGTCATTAATTACCACCACATTTAGAAATCCTTACAAAATTAAATAGTCATTACCATAAATATGACACTAGAGGCAGTTTAGATTTTCATCTGCAAAATGGTAATAGTAGTATAACTAGCACATCTGTATTTGAAAAAGAGTGTATTTGAACTTGGAAACTGAATAATGATATTAAGCAGTGGTCAAATTTAATAATTATAAATTTAATAATGTAAATTGTATATGAACTCCAATTTCAGCATAGGGTTGGACATCTTCTCAGAGAATATATTAATGATTATATACAAACCTGGAAATGGATCAAATACTGCACAGTTTTTCTACCTCTTTGATCTTTGTTGACAACTATATCCAGAACCTAAAAATATTTTTTGTTGAATAGCTTTCAAAATTCTCTAGCTAAGAGCTAAGAGACAACAAGGAGAGAGGGTCATTAAGGAAAAATGGTTGACAGACCTTGAGCTACTTTTGGAAAATAGCTTTTAGTTCTGAATGTGGTCTTTAGATCTATATTCAAGTACAACCTTTAAGTTGATGGACCCTTGAAGGAATCTCAAAACAAAAATTGTCAAACATTGAGGGGTCCTCAAGGGTATTACATCTAATATAATATTTGATGTTTTTCTTGACATTTGTGACATTGTTTCAGGCACCCATAAGAGACTTTTTAAGGTACATCCTCATTGAGCGGAATGGAGACAAAGAGAAGGGAAGCAAAATTCTTACATTACACATTAGCAAATAACAGCAATGCATCATGTTTGATACATACAAATGAAAAAATCTTGCCAGGTTTCCTTTGCCTCACTTCTCAATGTGTGGGCTCATTAACCTTAGACCTGTACCTGTACCCTGAAGTAAAAATGAACAAAATATAATTAAAATCTTACCTTTTTTGCTGAAATTGTCTATGTTTATTAATAAGCCTTAATTGTTATCAATGTGAATAAAATTAATGTTAAAAAAGTGTATTGTACTGCTACTTTATTCTATTATGGGTAAGGTTCTAGGGTTAAGGCCTTCCTTAACTCTGAGTATGCCTCTAGTTGCATTTTGATGCACTTGATTTATTACCTACACAAACCACTAGATCAGTTATGATGTTATTTGTACAACAACCGTACTCAGAATCATAAACTACAGTAACGAATGTGCTATTATAGCAAAAATATCCGATAAGCTACAATAAAAAATGGTCAAGCTACCATAAAAAAAATTACAAAAAAACATTTCATTTTGTACAGGTGTTTTTGACAACAAAACAGGCATGTTCATCGTTACATTACATCAAGCTTTTGGACTATGAGTTTCCTAGCTTCACGGTTTTGAATATCAAGAATAAATTTATCCAAATAATGAAATCAAACTAATATACATACCTTGGAATCATACAATACTTTGGCTTTAGTTGGGTCGGGTTCATAACACAAGACTCTTTCTCCTTCAGAAAACTTTCGATTTATGCCTCTAGTTGAAACCATCTTCTAACAAAAATATAAAGAAAAACGTCACGGTTGGAACGAAATCCCTAATTCACGCATTTTATCAACAATTTTCACAAAAAACTGCGGTTAGGAACCGCTTTGTTGTTTATGAAATCGTAATTCCGCCATTTTCACTAGAAAATGAACGGATTCTGCGCATGTGCGAAAAATTGTTCAAATGGTGGGTCGTTGGGCGTGTATATTGAACCGAATTATAAGCAATAGTTCAGGCATAATGGATAATAATAATGTCTTTATTAATCCATCAACACTGCGAGGCGAAGTTTAGCCAGCTGGCTACTCTACCACTTAACTTCACAGATGTCGATAGATCTTAAAAATGTAATGTAAATATGAGTAGTGTTTTACTTGCTACGCCGAAGGATCCAGTATCAAATCTTAAGAGTTCAACTCCCAAAAATATGCGTGAAAAACGTATTTTATTCATTTTTCTGTTTTAACGATAAATCCATAAAAATGTAGACTGAAAAAATAAAATAAACAATTGATTATTGGTTTGTCGTGGTTTATTTCAAGAATAATTATGTTAACCATCTTCTAACAAAGATATAAAGAAAAACGTCACAGTTTTAACAAAATCCTTAATTCGCGCATTTTATCAACAATTTTTACCATAAACTGTGGTTAGGAACCGCTTGGTCGTTTATGAAATCGTAATTCCGCCATTTTCGCTAGAAAGTGAACATATTCTTAAGCTGGTTACACACGATCCGGCAGGCCTGTCAATTCGAACTGAACAGTCCGCCTGAAGACCAGTCGCCTGATGGACTGACCACCCTCCACATGTTCAGGCGAATATGAAATATTAGTCTCAATCATCATATTATGGCCTCTCCTGACGACGACGCGTTAGCACTTCTCGGCTTAGTAGTTGCTTTGGGTAAAAAGAAATCCACAAAAAAAAAACGTACGGTATGGTGTAAAGATTGGTTGAAAAAAGGAGCGTTTTTTCTCATGTGAATTTGCTGAATGACCTGAAGTTAGCTCCCAAGGATTTGAACAAATATCTACGTATGGATGAAGATACGTATCTGCAACTTTTATCATTGGTAGCACCTTTGATAGAAAGAAAAAACAGTGTAATGAGAGAAGCAATCCCAGCACACGAAAGGCTGAGGGCAACTTTGAGGTTTCTAGCTACTGGAAGAACCTATGAGGAACTCAACTTTTCCACTATTATATCACCTCAAGCTCTGAGTTACATTATTCCTGAAACTTGTGAAGCATATGGGAAGTTCTACGCAAGGATTTTATGAAGGTAAGAAAATACTTTGTTGAATATTAAACATACAGAGAACAAAAACATTATATTTCTCCCATAAAAAATACAAACTCAAGTTCAGTTATCAGTTGTTATCAGCATAAGTGAATTAAGCTAAAAGAGTTCCCTTTCTTGAACATTTTCTGTCTGGGGAAAAAACATGTTATTCTGGGAGTGGTGTTCAATTGAAGCTTCGGAGTTCTGGAGTAGCAACTGCTGCGATGATGATGATATTGCGGATGATTGAGAACTTGGGCGGCTAGGATTGGAACTAGATGAATGATTCGAATAATATTTATTTGACGAAGGGGAGTTCAGTAGTAGCAACTGCTGCGGTGGTGCTGGTGTTGCGGAGAGTTGAAAGTTTGGCCGGCTAGAATAGGTACTGGATGAATGATAACGATTAGACAAAGGTGGCTGATAAGTCAGTGTATGATGTGGTGTTTATGTTCCACCCTCAGCTTCAAAAAGTACGTCATTAATAAATTTCTCTGCAAGGCGTCTCTGATCGTTGGTTAAATCTCTGAGCTTCATAGCAACGTTTTTACCAACAATGTCAAACCGGTCATCCGCTGTGCGTGGCCGTTTGAAGTGGTTATTGACGGTTGCTAGTACTTCTTTTGTTAACTGTGTTTGGTCATCTGGTTTTTGAGATTTTGGTGTCGGTCTATGGCGAAACTGCGAACCTGAAGCCACACTTGAAGTTTTTTCAGTAGAATCTTGGGTTTCAGGTTCAGTTTGAGGGCTGTATGCATCTGTGTTTAAAGTTTCGGCCTGTGATTCATCCTGTAACAATAGATTTGTTTGAACAGTTTTGTTAGTTTTTTTTGTGGAAATATCTATGGTTTTTATCACTGTATTACTTAATCTTATTTCATAAATTCAAAGCATGAAAAAATTTAAAAAATACACAATTTATTTCTCTTGACATATATCGCCAGACATTTTTAATGCATATTTTTATAATGCATAATGCATCATATTATATTTTTTTTCAGTTTTCATGACTAGAACAAGACTGGAGAAACATTTCTCAGAGCTTTGACGAACTCTGGAACTTTCCTCATTGCCTTGAGGCCATTGACGGCAAGCATGTGAGCATCGTCCCCCCATCTGGAAGGGGATCGTACTATTATGATTATAAAGGTTTTCATAGCATGGTGCTATTAGCCTTAGTTGATGCAAACTATCGTATTTTAATGTGCGATTTCGGAACAAATGGCAGGGTGTCTGATGGTAGTGTATCACAAAATATCAAATTTTTTGAAAAACTACAAAATAATCTCCTGAAAATTAATGTAGAAGAAACCATACGGAATACTTACAGAAGCCTACCATATGTATTTATAGGAGATGATGCATTTCCATTGAGGGTAGACCTAATGAAACCTTTTCGACAGGCACACTTGCATTAATCTGGAACCGCGAAATATTGAATTCGTTGTAATGGCTTGCTGCATGTTATATAACTTTTTGATAGCCAAGTCATCAAGAACATATACTCCTCCAGAGTGCTTTGACCATGATGATACGGGAGAAGGTGTGACACATTTTGGATTGAATTCACAAGGTTCTAATATGTCTAGCGTGCAATGAAGACCATTTGGAAATACAGCGAATGCAGCAAAAGAAGTTAGGGAGGCCTTTATGAGTTATTTTACGAATGAAGGTAAAGTTTCTTAGCAAGATATATTCATCCAATAAAAACTTACCTACTAATAATATTATTGTATAGGGTGGTCCAAATTGGTCGCTCTCTCATTGCAAAATTTTGTTTGCGCCAAGGACTTTTTTTGACCAATTTGGACCATCCTAAAAATACACAAATTACCTACAAATAGGTACATATTTACATTATGAAAAATGTGTGTTTATTAAATAAATAAACAAACAAATTATCTACTGAATGTTTCTGTCATTTACCTCATTTTCGCTCTCTTCGTCATCGGAAATATGGCTTCGAGAGTTTCCTTGGTCTTCCATAAACTTCAACAAATCATAATACCAACGTTTGGGATGGTAAACTTCATCGGCCCCTGATCCCGTCCTCATTGAATCCTTCACTTTTTTTGCTTCCTTTCGAAAACTACTCCTCAAATTATTATTTTTTTAAAACAGTAGACTTCGTACAAGAAGGATCAATTTCCTTCAATTTTTCTATTAATTTTAAATACGCCGCTTCTTTCTTGCCACGGCCGTGATAGTCTTTCGATTTTACTTGCCATAGACACAACTCATTGCGATAAATTCTTCTAAACACGTATTTTCTCTTTCCCGCGACATGGTAACGACTTCTGTACTCTGGTTCTGTTTTAAACTGAACTGTTTGGCCTGACAACCGGTTGTCCCAACAGGCGGCCGCGCCATACACACGTTCAGGCTTGTCGTTGAGTACGTCAGGCCGGACGGATAAACGAACATCTTTTTGATTTTTCTCCGGCCGCCTGAACAGTCTTAACAGACAAGTCGACCGGTCTTCTGGCGGACTGTTCAGTTCAAACTGACAGGCCTGCCGGATCGTGTGTAGCCAGCATTAGCGCGTGGCAAAAAATGTTCAGCTGTTGGGACGTTGGGCGTGTATACTGAACCGAATTATATGCAAAGGTTCAGGCATAGATGTGATGACGAAAAATGAAACCTAATATCTTGAAAAATGAAATGTAGTAAAATTGAGTATACTAAAATTCAGCCCAAGTGAGACCACAACATCGCAAACTCGAAGCGTGATCAGCGCGTGATCGATGTTCCCGCAGAGGGTCTCATTATAGTTCAGGCATTTTACGGTTTGAAGTTGTAGTTTGAAGCGCTTGCTTTTTCAACTAATAGTTTCATTTCGTAGCTTTTATTTTTCTTTTTTTAAACTTTCCGCCCTTCATATTGATGCTTTTGTTAAATACAATGTCCTGAAGTGGCTCCAATATAAAACTCCATGAATTTGGAAAACATGCAGTTTCGAACATTTTTAAGACCTAGTTAGAGCAATACAAAACCCGCCGTTGCGCCGCGTTGATGTCTACAAAAACCAGAGTTGTAATCAGGCCGTGGCGTGGCGTCGAGTGCATCGCTGTTATAAGTTCTGTTATATCTGGTGTTTTTTGACCATGTCTTCTACCGACACAGCTGATGAAGGGAGAACTACATTGAGTCCACCCAGGAAACGATCAAGACAAAACCATTTGAGCATCGAAGTGAAAGAAATTATTTTAAATGTTTACAAATGTGAAACGGAGGAAAAACCTGAGCTCAGCGTCAACGATGTTGTGCAGAGGGTGGCGAATAAAGTTGGAGTTTCTCGTGCATCGGTAGTTAGAGTACTCAAAGAATATAAATTACGGAATGCATTTGCTGAACCTAAAACGAATCAGAACCGTAAAAGCCAAATTAAAGAAATAGATGATGCTGACAGACATGCGATCAGAAGGAAGGTTCATGAATTCTTTTTCCAGAATGAAATTCCTACAATTGATAAGATTTTGAAAGTAGTGAATGAAGACTCAGATTTGCCGAATTTTAGTAAAACGACGTTCTACAGGCTATTAAAGGAACTCAACTTCAATTGGCAGAAGAGAGGCCGAAACAGTTCATTGATGGATAGACATGAAATTATACAGGGTGGCCCATAAGTCCTTTGAGCTGGAAAAAAAGGAATAAAACCAAACTAGTTACATTATGAAGAATTATTATATTTTGTTATCATCTTTAGTGAATGGGAATTATGTTTTAAAAATCACATCGTCTAAATGCAATCCATTACGATCACGGCACTCATATAAACGACGTCTAAAATTGTCGATGACTGCGCGGCAAGTCAACACTGTAATGCTTGCCATTTCTCTTCGGATATTTTCTTTCAGGACATCAACTGGTCGCGGAGTGGTGTCGTACACTTTACTCTTGAGGTAGCCCCATGAAAAGAAGTCCATTGGGGTCAAATCTGGACTACGTGGTGACAAGGAAATGTCTCCTCTTCGAGAAATTACTTTGCTGGGAAAAAGTTGACAGATGACGGGCATAGAAGTGTTGGAGGTGTGGGCAGTTGCTCCGTCCTGTTGAAACCAGGTCTGCGTATTATAGCCTGGAAAATTCCGCAACGCTGGTGTCAAAAACTCTTCTATCATTGCTACATACCGCTCCGAAGTAACAGTTAATGCGCGACCTCTGTCGTCCTCAAAAAAATAAGGGCCTACGATGCCCTGCGCTGACATAGCAGCCCAAACTGTAACTTTAGGGCTTCTGATGCTTACGCCTTGGATTTTCGGGGCTCCAATAGCGGCAATTTTGTTTATTTACATGCCCGTTTAAATGGAAGTGAGCCTCGTCCGAGAACAGCACATTATTGAGCGAAGAAAATCGATTCAACATTTCATTCGCAAAGTTTAGTCTCTGAATAGCGTCATTATCTTTTAATTCCTGCACTAACTGAATTTTGTAAGCGTGCAGACGTAAATCTTTCCTTAAAATCCGCTGTAAAGATGTTCTGGGTACGTTTAGTGCACTGGAACGCTTACGAGTAGACTGGGTAGGATTTTGATGAACAGACTGTGCCACAATGTTGATGTTTTCTTCAATACGAGTTGTCCTTGGTCGACCCCACCGCTGTTTATCTAACGTCGAACCAGTCTCTTCGAACTTAGCAACCCAGTTCTTAATCGTTTGAGCTGTTGGACACTGTAAAATTGTGGTATTCTCGATATTTACGCCGCGCAATGGTTGCCGAATCATTATTTTGATAAAACGCGCGCACACAAAAAGCACGATCCGCTCCAGTGAAACACTCCATGACGGCTGAATTCCCAGACACTGAAGATACTGCCCCCACCTCGCCCGCGCCGCTCACGCTCACCCGTTAAATTTTATTCAAATTTGAAATTTCAAAGGACTTATGGACCACCCTGTACTATGGAGGAGAGAGTATTTGACAAAAATAAAAACATACAGGAGCCAAAACCGTAGAATTTACTTCCTGGACGAGACGTGGATAAATGCTGGCCATACAAAATCAAAAGTTTGGGTGGACCAAACAGTAACGTCAGCAAGAAGAGCGTTTTTAGATGGGCTTTCAACTGGGCTTAAAAACCCTACAGGTAATGCAGACATTCCATTTTAGAAAATCCAACAATAGTTATTAGATAATTTTTCATAGCCAAAGTGATTTAAATGAGGCATTACACGTTATCAGATATCTAGAAAAAACGAGGGGATGATGACAAGATTTTTTACAGCAATGCGAGCGTTGCAGAGACAACATACCTCGTCCGTCACGGAATATAACACGTTAATTAACAACGTCAGACATTGCGTTGATTTGTAAATTTTTCGATAAGTTTGTCACACTTGATAATTTTTTAGTTTAATTGATGTTGCCTGTTTCTTTTTGTTTTTTAAGCTAACCAGATTGATCAACAGATTAAATGATGCATTGGTTGAAGTGTCCGATATATCTCACCGCATGCATCCCACTATCATGAGAAACAATATAGCATCGTATATAAAATACAGAAATGTGTCCCTATCTCCGTGGCCTCAGTACTCTTGTGAAAGACATATAATGTACATCCGTATTTAACAAGCTTTATCTTTATAGGCAAAGGAAAAAGGCTCATTATTTGCCACATCGGGAGTGTAGATGGCTTCGTGAAGGAAGGACTATGGTGTTTTGAATAAAAAAAAAACACTGACTACCACGAAGAGATGAATTGTGAAGCATTCGAAAACTGGTTTTTAGGCATTTTACCACGTCTTAAAGACAATTCTGTGGTGGTCCTGGATAATGCTCCGTATCATTCTAAGAAATCAGAAAAAAATCCAAATTCATCTTTTAAGAAATCAGAGATACAGGACTGGCTAACTAAAAAAAATATGCGTGAAAAACGTTTTTATTCATTTTTCTGTTTTGCCGATGAATCCATAAAAATGTAGACTGTAACATAAAATAAAGAATTTATTGGTTTCTGGTGGTATAGATATTTGATGAATAATATTTATCAGAAACGATGTACAGAAAGGTGTTTATTTGACATAAATAAAACATAAATAATATTAACATTTTTGGTTTGTTAAAAACATAATTATACAAATGAACTAGAGGAGTTGTACATTATTTTACTACTTAAAAATATAAAATAAAAAACATTCTCTCAATACAAATACTGAACAGTTAATTCTTAAAAAAATAAATTTTACAATATCGAAGGAAAATTAACGTTTGGTAATTATACATATAATCAGAATTGTACTATACTAAGAAACAATATTTGCAATGAAACACCCAGTGTCAGAAAGTACTAAAATCAATAGTTTATTATTAGATTAATCCTTAATAACGCTAGTACAAAAAATAAAGCTGCCTAGTTTCATTGCATGCATTTCTTTAGCATATATGTATGTATATCACACAGATTTTTCACTGGTCTTTGATTAAAGCATCTAATTGTTAATACCACATTGTTATCTATCTATCATAGTCAAAATGGTAGTCACACCTAAATAAAAAGTTTGTATCATTAGCGCTGGAATTTTAAATGGAAGAACTGTCAAACAAAAATAATTTACTCATAATTATACACCTGAATCCTACAATTTGTAGTAATATAGTAACAAAAGAAATTTGAACCTCGAGCATCTCACATTTTGACACTAGGTCCGCCCCTTTAAGTTAGGTTTTCTGAAATTGCACTCCTGAAATCAACCAATGCAGACCTACTGGCTTATGGTACATAAAAATAAACATCGCAAATCAAACGATTTTCAGTCCACAAACAACTCAAAACTAAAGTGAAGAAGAAAGGTCTTCTATTTTTAAAAGTACAAAAGTACTATTTCCAATGACTGAAACATGATTATAAAACTTAGACATTGTCCTATTCTTCCGCATAATCATTTCCGTGGAAGCATTTTTGAAGAAGCTGTAGTAGTTATGTCATACTGCATTTTTGCACTTCATCTTTGGAACTGAATCGCTTTTAGGCCGAATGTGCTTCTTCATTTTGGGAAACATGTGACACTGTAAGATATTGAAAAAACTCGGAAGCGCAATTCAGGTCCGAAAAAGAGAGAAAACAGAGGCTACGACAACGCACGTCGCTCGTCAAGTGGTGGCTCTTCTGCGACAGTTTGGATAAGAGGTAATGAACCATCCACCTTATACTCCGAAATTGACACAGAGTGGCTACGACCTGTTCCCTAAGTTGAAGGAACATGTGACAAGGCGATTCGGTTTTGGCAACGAGGTGAAAGATATCCATAAAAAGGGATGGATTGGAATGGCGGTTATGTAGGCACAGATACAAATGTATAAGCTTTATAATGATGTACTCTTGAAAAACAGGAGGCCTTACTTTTCGAAATTATCAATATTTGACAATGGGTGTTTTCTCAGGTATATTGTTGAAATACTTTAGGCACGTTCATTCATTGTTATAGTTTAATATGGACTGAGTATCCAACGTATCTCCTGATAGAAGCACGTTATCAGTGGGATCTGTTGAGATATATCCAGAGTTATGGCTGAATGGAAATAAGCTGTTCACTTTTTTGATCAGGTCCAAATACTCCTCCTTGTTTTTAATCAATTTTCCATTAGTGTCACCATTGCCTTGCTGCGTTTGGAGTATTTCAGCTACCAAATATCTGCAACAGCAACATAAATACTGTGAATTCATAAGCTTTCTTTATAGATATTTAAAAAACTCATTAGACGATTACCTCCAATTCTGCAATAACGTTTTAATGCTGCTTAAGTTTCATATTGTCAGTTTTTTGAATATTTATATAGTTGTTGTCCTTTAGAAAATAAAATATATGAAAACATGAATACGACAGAAACCATGGATTAAACTCAAATACAAATATTTCAAAAATGGATCAGTGGATTTTCTTCAAATTTTGAGATAAGATTTTAATGCTCCTAAAGTTCCGTATGGTAAGCTTCTAAACGAATTCAAATAGTATCGAAGGAAAATCATGTAACATCTGAAACTTAACCAATCAAAACACATATGATTTGATTGGCTCAAAGAGGGCGACAACGCTCTCTTGTGGACGCTGAGTACCTACAGGGGCGGGAAGAGCTAACTAATGCGGATGAGACCTCCCATTCCGCTCTTGAATTGTCAATACTACCCTCGTTCTTCAGAGTTATCATAAGCATCAAAACCGATGCAGCAGACGACGCCATCATCCCCTCCCCGCTCTTCAATTCTGAATAACAGATACCCCCCGAGTCGGACATCTTTTTGAACAATTTCGAGGGGCGCTAGAAAATAATTGATTTTTAAAGTGGACAGTAGACGAAGTAAGTTTAAGAACCTCTGGGCTAGACAAACATGCAGGATTAAGAAAAGTTATGTTTCTCATAGGAGCCCATGTAGATGTCATAAGGATTATCGCAAGACATACAAATTTCAGGGGTTTCTGTAAATTGTGTCCTTGCGCAAGTAACACGTTTAGAACCGTAATGAAAATGTTGACCTGGTTCTGACCGATTATTACTGTAAGTCCTAAGATTTGGGCTTAAATATCAGTATTCAATAACTATTGGATTGTTATTCGAATTTATTGAACTGTAAAATTAAATAAAAAGTCTTTTATTTTCATTTAACATAAGATACTTGCCTGCAGTAGAGATCGACTTGTGGTCTTCCGCCATTCCTTATTTCAAGGTCGGGCAGCCACCGGAAGTAGCACTGAGACCATATTTCCAAGTTCGAAACTCCGGGGTTGGGCTTCAGCGGTTCAAGGAAAGTATCGTCGTACAGCGGATTGCAAAATAAACTGATATCTCGCTCCGAAAACTGTTCTCTCCAGTCCCAAACGCTTCGTAATGCCAAAGGAGGATGAGCGTTTCCAGAACCCTAAATGATATGAACAGAAATTTAGAGAGAGAAGCTATATACAGGGTGGCCGATATATAACTGACTGATTTAAATTGCGCGCTATTTTTGATATACGCATTTCAGTGGGTGGTGGCGTAGTAGTTGTTTAAAGTACATGTGTCCAATTCATCACAACGCGTCCGTATTGTTAAAACGTTTTACTTAAATAATGAGTTGATTGTTGCAACAATTCGGAAGCTACGACAAGATTTCGATCTAAATAATGTGCCCAGTGTCAACACCATTCGTCAGTTGATGCGGAAATCTGAACAAACAGGTGAAGTTAAAGACTTGCCAAGGTCGGGCCGTGTTCGAACTGTTCGTACTCCGGAAAATATCTAGAGAGTTCGTGAAAGTGTAGAGGAGCGCCTTGAGACGTCTACCAGACATTGTTCTCAAGAACTGGGTATTCGTCGCACGTCATTATGCACTAATTTAAAAAAAGACTTACATTTGCGGTCATACAAAATTCAGTTAACCCAAGAACTACAGCCTAGTGACCATGAAAGTCGCCGACAATACAGTCATGCAATATTACAGCTTAATACCCAAAATAACTATTTTTATCAATAACTGATAATGAGCGACGAAGCCCACTTCGATATGAATGGATTTGTTAATTAGCAGAATGGTCATATCTGGGCATTAGACAACCCTCGTGTCATCCATCAACGACCACTACATCCTCGTCGAGTCACAGTTTGGTGCGGTGTTTGGTATGGAGGTGTCATTGGACCTTACTCATTTGAAGACGCTGCTGGTGTCAATGGCGAGAGCTACCGTGATATGGTGCAACACTTTCTGGCTCCTCAAATCCAACAATTTAACCTGCAAAGCGTGTGGTTCCAGCAGGAAGGGGCAACTTGTCACACTGCTAGGGAAACAATAAATCTTTTGCGAACAATATTTCCGGGACGTTTAATTTTTCGATTTGGTTAAGTCAACTGGCCACCAAGGTCACCGGATTTAACGGCTCCTGACTTTTTTTTATGGTAACTTTTGAAAAATAGGGTTTATGCCAACAAACCAATTACTGTAGAGCAGCTGAAGAACAATATTACGGAAGCGATTGAAAATATTCCTTCCGAAACTTACCAAAAAGTGATGGAAAATATAATCAAGAGGGCTCAGGTTTGCGCGGCTGCTAGAGGCGGACATTTGTCCGATATTATTTTTCATACGTAACTTCTAAGTTTGAATAAAAGATTGAGATTAAAAAAATGGACGTATTTTATTTCACAAATATTCACGGTATAAACCAGTCAGTTACATATCGGCCACCCTGTAACAGAGCTGGCGATGCACCGAGTAGTCGGTTTGTACCCGGTATTAAATTAGTCGGCCGGGTAATTACTCTGTCTCAATGCAAGACAAAAAACTTGCGTAAATCAAATAATTGCAGATGCAATTTGCAATTTTTCCCAAAACTTCCCGATATGGTCTCCCAGAAAATAATGCACAATCACAAAAAACAGCCATGGTTTCAACGTATTTTTGTCAGTATCAAATGCCTGATATTTTGTAAATGTCTCCTATTTTCTCCAGTAAGCTACTGCATTCAAAGTATGAATTTGCATAGCTTATTTTTTATATACAAAGGTGTTACTACAATACTACGTTTTTTAAAACGAAATATGACAAGTCCATGGCAAGCTGTTATAGCCAATTAAACTGAACCGCCATGCAGTATTGCCTTTTTGCACTTCTTATTTGCTGTTTTGTCCATCATATGAAAACTACAGAAACCATAAAACCAAATAATGCAATGCAGCAAAAGTCAAAAACTAACGTGTATATCTATATAAGCCTGCATTTCTGCGAGCCAAATCTTTATTCATACATAAGAGTAACTTAGATTTAGTCCTTTCCAAATTTGAATTGTTCCAGCTCAAAAACCTATAAGGTTTAGTGTTAAAAATATTGGTTTAAAATGTCATTTTGAAAATCTTATAATTACGTTTAGTTAGTGAAATTTGTTAGTCTAGATGTTAATGTTATTTAGTATTTGTGGTTGTTACATAATTAGTAATACAAAAATATAAAAAAATTATAATTTGCAAAAGAAGCTTTTCCCCGTATTCCTTGTGTGGTCCAGAGATTTGCAATTAAGTTGACTTTTTTTACCTCGAAAACTAAGCAAGATACGAAAAAAATACAAGAGACAAAAAAGTTGTATTTCTATTTGCTCAATCCAAAGAACATAATAAAAATTGTAAAAAAGTTGGTGGCGTACATTTTTTTGTCACAAATATTCGTTTAGATCCCGCTCGAGACGCCACTGGACTTAATAAATTTAATTAAGCTAGGGCTGAATTAGTTCCTTAATATCATAAATACCACCGCCAAATTGCAATAAAAGTAGTAAAAGCATATTTAAGATATTTACGAAAGATATTTTTGTTAAGTCTAAAACCCTGTATCTTGGAAACGAAGAATTTGCGGGCCATGTTTACATGAACTTTTTGTCTTGAAATTACTCACAGAGTCGTCGATTAAATTTGTAGTACATACTTAATCAACACCCTGTATACCTAGCTGTTGCAAGAAATCTAAAATTACCATATAGACACTAACCTGCAAAGGTTTACTCACAAAAAGTTGTCTAAGCTGTATAACCGTTTGATTTATGGTGCGTTAACTTCTTAGAGAACTCCATATTTTACCCGGCCAAGTACCCGGTATTGTAATATGACGGAGTACTCGGTACTCGGTATTTTTTGAATTTTTGCATTCTCACCTGTGCTGCCATATATCGGTGATGATGGCAATTGAACAGAAATGTTTCAAAAATGGAGATATGTGCAGAGTCCCACAATGTTGTCAAGTAGGTCTCGCTTATTTGGAAAGCTGTAGGGTATTGCTGGATCAGCTGCCATACACAGTCCAAAAACAGCAAAAATATAGGCGATTGTTCTATTTCCTAAAAAAAATCAAATCGTACAAACACGCCAGTTAGCAACAACGATATATACTGAGTGACGAAAAAGGTAAACACCTACGTATGTTTATCCGATTTTAATGATTTTTGTGAAAACCTGACCACTTGTTGTTCATGGCAAGATAAATCGATCTGTAAAAAATTCTTGAATTCTATCAAACATACGTAGGTGTTTACCTTTTTTTGTCACTCAGTATATAATGAAGTATTATTTTAACTCACCTTACATAATATATGGCCTAACCTATTAGCAAATGGATGACCCAAAGCAACCCAGTCTTTTTGTATCAGAGACTGAAAGCCAAACTTAGTCCGAAAAAATGGATCCAACATCAACTGTGTTAAGCTTGATACTACACAGTTTAAGTCTTGACCATTACCTGGAAAATTTAGCGCAAACTAAGTTTGAGTCAGCATTTAGAAAAATAGTAGTCTCATCTTGGTATGTACGACGATGACAAGATGATATTTGGCATGAATATTTAGAGCAACGTTACCCAATATGATGAAGTGCAAACGAATCAGGAGTTTTTATGAATATGCTGCATTTCTGAGAATCTCATACATCGGGCACAAAATACCGACAGGACAGTACTGTCGAACCATAGGTATATTCTTTAATTCACTGGTTGCGCTACCGGTGCAACCGGCTAGCCAATTCTGCGTCCTTTAATTTCCGCTAGAACGACCGGTTGTATATCAAACTTGTCTTTATATTGATGGTGGGTATGTCACCGGTGCCAAAAGCATCCACCGACGATCGGGCTCGTTTGATCCACGACATTCTAACCTCGACATTTTATCATTTTTTTTGACAACTACAGTTTTGCGTGAAAAAAATAGAAGAAGGAAAGATTGAAGTTATGCTACAGCATAGGAGTGGCGTGAAATTTAATGTTTTTTAACACAATTCGAAATAAACAGAGCTTCTGAAGGCAAGTGATTTTATTTTGAATTACCCATATCTGAAAATTTGCTCTTTCTCTCCACTGGATAATAATAATCGCTCGAATCGCTTAACAAACGTTCCACCACAATACCTATCTGCTGCGTATAGTGCCATGATTTTAAATGATGCAGAGTTCAAATTAACCACGATTCACGATAAATCAAAGGTTAGGTTTTCTCATATGACAACAACCTGAAGGCTAAAAATGCGTCTTTTTATTAACCACCATTCAACGGAACCGGTTGCTGACGTCATCACATCAGCTGTCAACCATAAGTTCACCGGATCCATCAGTGATGGAATCAAACGGTGAATTAAAGAATATATCTTATTCTTGTCAAAAACATTATAAAAAAGTATAAAAACCTTCTTGTAAGACAACACTTGACTCCTCATTGGTCAACTGATCTGCTGCTTCCACTGCTTTACTTAGGCATGTTGAAACATATGACAACCATTTTGTACTATCTAATAAGCCGTAGAATTTGAAATCTTGACTTTTGAACAGCCTTAAATGAAAAATAAATCGTTACATTATATTTTGCTTTTTGAGTTTTAATAAAGAAGATCTAAGGCTTTTACTGTTGTAGAAAATTGCTCGAGATATTTACCTCTTACTATCTGGGGTGCACAATTCTCTAAATTTATTGAAGCTAGAACTTATGTCTTTTGGCGATGGCAAAGATAGATCAATTATATGTGGTGGTTTCTTGTCTGGATGGCTTTTTCTAATATGTTCAAGCAACTTATTCTCTTCAGTACGATCTGAAATAGCAGGTAGTAGATCCGCCATCCTGACAAGTGCAGCACCTTTAGCTGTTCCCCACACCTACAAAAAAATTCAGAAAATTTTTATTTCAAAAACCCCCGATGATCTAAATGAATTCCCGTATCTTGGGTAAGCTGGGTGTTAAGGTGAGTATACGGCATTTGGGATTTAAATATTCTGCCAAAAGAGTCTTAAGCAAATCGACAAATTGTGGCAATAATCCATCCAAATACTGTAAAGTATCATGCTTTATCTAGAACATATAAAGCTAACTATTAAGATTCAAACTTGGAAATGTATACTACCCTGGCGTGCTTCATTCGCGACTTTTACTACAAATATAAACAAATATCTACACTAAGACTCAGACACTAAAATGTATATAAACGCATTAAGACACATTTTTAGAGATTCCTGAAACTTGTGTCACCCTCACCTGTCGCAATTCAAATTGCATGTTTTCGTGTAACTGTGCCATTCTCGCGATTTGACTCCAATCAATCCGTAACAAATCAAGAAATGTTAGTTTGAAACCAGCACGATTTGGCTTAGTTAAACCCGGACCGCGTCAGTTGTTTACTTAATTTCGGCAGATGCCAGTGGTTCCAGTATTTACCCAGGTAAGCATACCTTTGAGAATTTCAACAGTACATTACTGCAACTATGTAAAAACAACGATTGCTGAATACAAAGTCATGAATCACTAATAATATAATAATTAATGTATAATTTTTTTTTCTCGAGCTCATACGATATTGCCACTACCCTGAAAAGTGATTTCTGGCAGTTTTTATGTCAATTGTCTTTTCCACCCTTTCTATTTAACTGCTTTCTACTTTTTATCATTTCTTTACAATTAAAAATATAATCAATGCAAGCAAGGCTGAGACTCACTATCAAAAAAATGTCTAGCCTCCAAATACGACTGTTACCCTGAGAGTCTGAGAGCTCTCAATATATCTTTTATTTCAAGACAGATAGATTTGAATACTTCCTATTTTAATAAAGAACTATTGAACTTATTTAGCTTGTATCGCATCTAAAGTATCGCTTTCATAGTTTAAGTGTCACCAGCCTGGCCCCACATCTTCCCCTGGCAGCTGGAAAGCTGTCAAAATCAAAATATTATCTGACTCTGTCCAAGATGTCACATATCATACAGACTTGTGGCAAAATAAATATGTCGATGGCAGGACGCGCTGTTAACGTTCATAATGGAGATTTTGGTACTTGCCGCGACAATTGCTTACAAAATCGACGATGAGTTGGTGAATAACACCATGCCTATAACCTTCCTCGCGTAACAATTAGTAAGTGCTCAACTTTTTAGGTCTCTCCATACTGTGGTTCAGATGTTATGCTGACAGACTAGACAATATTTCACATTTATATATAGAGATTTGCAAAAATATAACATAACTTACCCAAATGGGAAAGAATCGATTCCTAAACTTCTCTATAGCTTCAGTTATCAAGCTGTCTGTAACAGACTGGGGTACTATCATAGTTTCAATCAGCAATGGAGATGTCTGATAGTTGAAATTCACTTGAGATATCCGCCAATTATGACATTTAGTTCGTTTCAACTCCTTTTCCCAATCAGCCTTATTCAGAAAAAAGCGTGCTTCTTTTGATATCGAATTACTAACATAAGGTTCCCTAGAATAATAAGTCACATGTTAAAAAAACACCATTATCAAAAAAGTTATCCCATTGCATTTTTTATTGATCAACACACATTACAGAAGAAGATGATTATTGAACAATAACTTAAACAACTAGGATTACGTTCAGGGAATGGGAATTACTTACTTATAATCATAAGCAAACAGCAAAGTATGTCTTTTTGGATATGCATGATGCAGTAAAGCATTCACAATATTTTTACCACTATCTTTATCACCCAGTTTAAAGCTAAATTCTAAACTCTTCATATTCTGAAAATAAAAACAAAATCAAGTAGACACATCTAATAACCAACAGTGAACATGGATTGAAAAAGTTTATATAGTGTTATAAACTGAAGAATTCAATGGGGAGTTGAAAGATATACAAGGTTTAAGGGCAAATTACACATGATCAGTATTTACTGAAGTCCATACCATCAGTATTTACTGATCATTCTGTCAGTGGATTTCTATTTAACCTTACAGATCAATAATTATTGATGTGCTGGTGGAATGATCAATAAATATCACATTCCATGATAAATACTGACCATGTAACTTTAGCCTTAAAGTGACATATACATGTAATCAATACATAAAAATAGTACTACAATAATTATAATATCCAAATGTATCCTGAACCTTGATGAAAAGAACTTATAATTTTAATACTAATCACTCCATCATTGATATCTTAATTTTTACTGAAAAATTGAAGTTTCAAGTATTATTTGTTTGCTTAGTGCTAGTAGAATGAAAAAAGTGCTCTGTATTTTTGGAAAATTACCAATTACAGGGCTAATTTCTTTTTGTGGTAGAATTATAATTTAATTTTGAGAGAAACAAAAAACACATTTAATATAAAATATATATAAGAATAAAATAAAAGGCATTCAACCACATTAATTTACTTATGCTTGTCATTGCATAATGATATAGAATTTGTATGTTTTAATATCTAATAAGCAGCAATATTTTATATTGTTTTATTAATTTTAAATACTACAAAAATATAGATAAATAACAATGAATATTTCAAGATTCTTTGACTATCAATATACTTAGAGAAGCATCAGATATGTCCAATAAGTATCCAAGCAGAATTACAAATCAGATTTGTATTTTAGTATTACCTTACAAATAATAATTATGTCTTTGATTTTGCCTGACACAGGATGCCCAGGGTGAAGCCTCTTCTTAGTGCGATCACCAGACTGATATATAATATCAATGGAAGATAGGCATACATCATGGACACCTAACAGTAAATTTTGCTGATAACAATTTGATGCTTCAGGCTCTTCTGCAGTAGCGAATGATAGTTTGAAGGTGGTTACTGTGAGAACACCTGTTAGGTATCTTTTTCTATCACTTAAAGGTGGATACATTATCACCTTGTGGGCCTCACATACTATGGTTTCTCCTTAAAGTAATTTTAAGTTATGAAAATGGGAAATGACATTCCAGGTGTTAAGTTACCTTCCAAAAACTTTGTTTTCTGCGAATCATCGAGTGTGATGGACTGAAAACGTAATATATATTCGATGAAGTATCAATGTATAGCATAGGTAATATTTGCAAAAACATTTGATTTGTTAATCAAAATATGTAAGCTTGTTACTGCCTATGAAACCAGGTATATTTCCACAAAATATAGAACCGTATCAATCACTATTTACCTCCAAATCTGATTCTCCAATGTAGCTTTTGAATCTTCCATCTTCCTTGATATCATTCATTTTTGTAAATTTTTTATACTAGTCCAAAAATGCTTTTTAATATTCAAATCGTTTATACTTTTGTCCTACATTTTTTTGGAGCTTCATCCCATATTACACATTTATCTTCAATCTGTACAAATAAGATAATCAGCTGAAAATAGCTTCAAAATGACAAGTAGTCTAAAAAGAAAAACACCTTTTCAACACGGCTTTTTAGGTTAACTTTTAAGTAGCTAGCATTTGGTTGGATAGTTTTTTTGTTATCACAAGGTTGCATGTCATGCTACAACGGTTATCGATTCGAATCTCTTTTGAGTGGAATAAAAAGATTATTATGTGCTGTTTTTTGTAAACTGGACAACTCTTAAATCAATCCGACTAAGGTTATCGAATAGCTTTTTTGCTTGAAATGAGGATGATAGGAATTCTTCAAATAAAACATTTTTTTTGTTCTTGGATTGTCTGCTTGGTGATTCTAAAGGCACGCGTCAGATTTGACAGTTAACGGCGTTAACGCCGAGTTGACAAAAAGAGGTTAGGTTAGTTTTAGTTATTAAGATTTTGAAATTTTAATAAAACATTCAGAAAAATGATAAACCTGCTATTCTATAAACAATTACGTTAAAATATCGGTCAAGAAATAGAATGTAAAATCTGTATTAAAGGATTGTGTGAAGTCTGTAGACAGACATAGCATGAAAATGGCCCAAATGAAGAAGGGTCTCGTTGAAGAAATAAAAACAAGGTGAGCTTACTTACGATAGGGTTGTTTTTTGTGAAGAAACTTAAAATTAATTATATTTTCAGGCCTGGTGCAGGCAATGGATTGTGGGTCTTGTTCCTCCTACCTTTAGCTGTCATCATGTCGTATGCGAAACATCCAATTATTGCTACACCCACGTACAAATTAGCAGCTTTATTATGTACAGGCTTTATTTTAACGTCCTGCATAATTATATACCAAAAATACGAATTAAGGAGACTGAAAATTGTTAATTTATGGACTTTGCTAGCTGTAGGAGCTACTTCAGCATTGTTTCACATTTGTGTTCACAAAGGTAATTCTTAAGGTGAAAATTAACTTAAAAATACTACTGTTACTAATACACTACATACTATTATGCTATTAATCATATAAACTCTTTACTACATCATCAGTCCAGAATAGTGCCTTTGAAATATCTTATATTCACAAGTCTTTCCTTTGCTTATTTTGGATGACATGGGGGGTAGGGGAGTCTAGATGATGATTACGTCATCGGTAGTTATTTACTTTGTTACACGAATGGCAACCCTCACATTGTCTTTGCTTGAAAACTAAAGGCATTTTTGGAGATTCCCACAAACAATGCATACGTTTAATGAACAGCGCGCGGTAATTCCCATACTCGCTTTAGAACCGAGTATGGGAATTACCGCGCGGTGTTCACTTGTCTAAATTTCCTCTATCAGTGTATTGTTTCGTTTGGAAACTATAGCGAGTAGACATATTGTAAGCATAGTAAAGCAAGTTAACATTTATGTTACCATTGATTCCATTAGCCAAAGTTTAATGTTTAAATAAGATGTCGTTTCACATAGACAAATCCAAGTTATACCAAAAATTGTTTGAAAGTTTTATAAAATCTCATACAAGTACGAAAGTACAAAATGTACAAAAGTTAGTTAACGAAGACACAAATTATACAGTCAGCTTCAAATATTAAAAAAGAGGAAGAAGATAAAATAAAACCTGGTAATGAATCACAACAGCAGTGTGAAATTGATGAAAATACAGATAAACAGAGAGCAAAACCTTCTCAGGAAGCTATGAAAAATAAGATTGCTCTACTCGTAAAAAACCTGAATGCTTTGTATTCTGCCAGAGATACTATGCCAAGCCATGCTGGAGTTGATAAACAGATCATTAAGTTGCGCGAGAAAATAAAAACAGCAAAACAGTCTTTAAACAGGAAGTTTCAAAACGCAGTTGCAAAGAAGAAACACAGGGATGGTATGAAAAGAAAGTTAGAAGATATTTGTCATGAAAATCCAGAAATAAAAAAAAGACTATCTCTGAGGGATTCAGTGGGATGTCCTAATCTTGAAAGCAATCAACATTCACTATTGAAAACAATCGCGGATATAGCTTTATTTGGGAGTGCAGCAGATGATAGAAGACGAACGGAATCAATTCGCAGCATAAAAACTCTTGATGAACTCACAAGAATTACATAAAATAGGATTTGACATTAGTAGCAGTGGGACATATCTTCGTTTGATTCCCAGAAAATCTAATTCTGCAGAGGGACGAAGACATGTATCAACACTCCCTGTTAAGCTCATTCGGGCTCAAACTGATCACCACAAGAGCCACTTAGGTAGCAAGTTCGCTGAAACATCAATCCATTATTTAGAGAACATAGCATCCATACTTGGACCAGATCAAGTATTTTTCATATCTCAAGATGATAAAGCTCGAGTCCCTATTGGCGTAACTGCGGCAAATAAGCAAGCACCTCTTCTAATGCACATGGAATATAGAATCAAATTGCCTGATCACGATTGGGTAATCGCTGAGAGTCATAAATTAATACCATCTGTTTATGCTGGTATCAAAATCACTTCCTATATGCTAGGACAACTGCAAGCTGTTGGATATTCTGGACCAACATACATCGCTATTCGAAGTGGAAAGCAGTGCTAATACTCATGCTCAGGATTTCGAGATGCTTCTCGAACTTGAAGAGTTTCCACCATTAGCTAAAACTGACCATGGACTAGTAAAACCAGTGGTAATCATGACAGTTGATGGAGGGCCAGATGAAAATCCACGTTATCAAAAAGTCATAGGGTTTGCTATACAACACTTTAAGTGACATGATGCATTGTTTTTAGCTACCAATGCTCCTGGAAGAAGTACGTATAACAGAGTAGAGCGCAGAATGGTTCCTCATAGTTGGGAACTGGCTGGTTTAATATTGCCTCATGACCATTTTGGGTCTCATTTAGATGAACGTGGCGTTACAATTGATGAACATTTAGAAAGATCTAATTTCAAATTTGCTGGAAATGTATTAGCTGAAATCTGGAGTTCAATGGAAATTGATGGCTATAATGTTAATGCAAAATATGTTGGGGCAGGTGAAGAAGATCTTCATGATTTTCCAGACATTAAATCGTATTCAGAACATGTGCTTGAGAGCCAATACTTGCTTCAAATTGTAAAATGTAGAAATACAGAATGCTGTCGTCCAAGAAGTGGCCTATTTAGATTACTAGACAATAGGTTTCTTCCACCACCTGTAAAAGTAAAACAAACAGTTGATGACTTGGTTTTGGATGAAGGAGGGCAATTTCTTAATCTTCCAGTCAATTTAGCTCTACTCTTAAGTGCTTCACTCAAAGATTTCCTGCAAATGCCCTACGAGTATTTTTGTCCGACTGTAAAATTGAGGCTATCAAGTCGAACATGCAAAACGTGTGGTCTTTATCATGCTTCCGTCCAGTCACTAAATCGTCACACCGAAAATATCCATAAAAAAGTAAACACGCACACTGATAGGAAAGTTAGACCTGTGTCGCTGCTCGTCGTGCTAATGAACTGATGTGCATTATTCAAAATTTAGAGCACCATGATGTTGAATGGCTCGATGAGAACGACGTAGACATTCCAAAATCCGATGAAAGCGAGCAAACTCACAACACTGAGCAGCAATCGAAGCAATCCAATGTCATCGAAAACTTTCATGGACTGAAGACTTAATTTGAATTTAACATATGTACCAAAAATTTAAAATAAGTTTGTTATGTTAGCAAGATATAATATTTTTGTCTTTCACTCTGTGTTGAATACCATATCAATAAAATATAATCTCTATCCTAAATCTATTTTCTTATTTTTCAAATTATAATTATAACGTTATAATTATAATATTAAAAAAAAATACATTAATTGACAAATGTTTACGTAAGCATGGGGGGAGGGGGTAAAAGCTTTGCTTACTTTTGCTGACAAGGGGGATGGGGGGGTAAATAATTGTAATAAATCTGCTTACGTAATACTTGAATGGCCCCATATTACATATGAATAAACAAACAGGCAACTACAGTAACAACCAATCACTGACTTACATTTCAGGGTGGACACTATCCATAGCAAGTGGAATTGCCTCTACTTTGGCATATTTCAAAATTTACACCTCTGTTTTAACAAAGTTTAAAGAATGCTTTACCCTAGGAGAAGCTGGCTTAGTCAGTCAAAGTATAACAATGATATTCTACTTTACAGCAGTAAAATTAGTGGAAATTGTTGCTGGCAATAAAAAAATTACAAGCAATATGCAAGTTGCAACATTGATAATTCAGGTATACATATCACAATAGGAAAAAAAAGAATCAGTTTTTACTCATATTTTGTTTTCAGTTTGAACTCCTATGTGTTGGACTTATAGCATGGCTGTCTTACATATTCCTTATAAAAACACCAAAAAGATTTTACACAATGTGTTTTTTGATAATCACTTTTGTTTTTTTACTGCCTTTGAAAATGATTACAGGAGAATACCCTATTCTATGGATAATAAGTTTAATTGACAATATTCCTACAGTAAGCAATGTGTAGTTGTGATGAATTCAAAATTATTAATAAATGTATATTTTTTAGATAAAATTAATGATGTACTGGAGCTTCTGTACTGGTGTAGCTATTTTGTCAGTTAGTAATCAAATTTTCTATGCTAAAAAAGCATCAACAGGAAAAAGGAAAATATTTCACATACTGTGTGTAGCAGTATATATCCCAGGATTACTCTGTAAATGCTCTCTATTATATTTGGCAAGTGGTATGCTAACAGGAGCATTCTTTTTTTTAGAGGTTAGTATTGTCTTTTTACTAGTATCCATTACATTAGAATGACAGCTGATTCTTTAGTAATATTTCAAAATTTTTCCTTCCCAACAGATGACATATATTTCTGATGAATCCTGCAAGGCCAGGTAGACAGAGCCACATATTATTTTGTTTTTTGTATGCTACAGATTCATTTTGTACTAACAACTCTTTTATTTAGAAAATATAATTTTCACTCAATTTATTATTGCGTCTGGTTGCAGACTAATACAAGATGTCACTTGTTGATCAGCTGATCACCTCAGTAGACATCAAAACGTGATGGATACTCAAGAAATAGGGTTCATTGTGGGTTAGGTTAAAGCTCGAGTTCTGTAATGTGTTGCCAAATTATAAGATATGTTTTCAGATAGCTGTCAGTTTTATTTCTTTCACCAAGTTTGTAGCATCCTTAATTTTCCTAGAAGGTGATCTTCACAATTTACGAGGGTATATAAGGCAGTGTGTAGTGGTTGACTAAGATTAGTACATTTTGTGGGTTTTGAATGAATAAAACAAGAAAAAGCTAGAAGTACTTCATTCAAACTGGGAAAAGAAACTGTCATTCATGACACTATATTACCCAAGCTCATTTTATCCAAGTGGTGAATCTGAAAGTACTTTGATTTTTTGATTTCAGATACTTCGTCTTTTGAGAATGCCCCCACTTGGCATACACCTCCATGATGGTTTTGTGGTGTTTAGTGATGAGAAAGACACCCTAGTGGCCTTAACACCAATTTACCTTTTAGTAGGATGTTCTATACCAATCTGGATCCACCCATCACCTTGTGATGTTACAGACTCTGGACTATTCAATATGATCCCATTGATGAGTGGGTTACTTGCTATTGGTTTGGGCGACACTGCTGCAAGTATAGTGGGATCTAGCTGCGGAAGAGTCCATTGGCCAAGTAAGTAAATGTCAACTACAAGTGGCAGATATAATTGAGACCATTTTTGCTCTCCAAAAAATGGAAAGCACCACATAGCATAATATTTTTTAAAAATGCTCTCTTTCGCAGGATCAAAGAAAACTTTTGAAGGAACAATAGCATGTATGTTAACTCAGGCTGGAATGGTTTACCTACTAGCTTACCTCAGTAAGTATAAAAATATTTTGTTGGATCATGGCACCTCATACCCTAAATATGCTGTGAATCATCACTATAAAGGGATTACTTTATATAGGGTGTCCAGTTTAAGTCTCCCCACCTAAATATTTCAAAAACTACACCTCCTACACAAAACTTCTATGGTTTCAAAGGGACCAAATGATGGTAACCTTGACCATACCATAAGCTATAAGGTCATTTCAAGGTCAGGTGCACATTTTTAAATACAACCCACTTTTTAAATCAGAATTTTAAAGAGGAGGAAATTGTTTGTTGCTCTAGCTAAACTGTTTTGACAGCATAGTTGTGAGGTTTGTGGGGATCACCCAAATGTGACCTCAACTTTCAAGGACAAGTCAATATTTTGAAAGGTAACCTCTCATTTTCCACTGAAAATAGAAAAAAGCCAGAAAATTCACGTCCGAATATGACCTTGACCTCAAAGACAAGGTATCAAGCTTTATTGATAATGCAGGTCGAGGTAAGATGCGGACGTAAATTTTCTGGTTTTTCCAGTTCCAGTACAAAATTGAGAGGTTTCATTTGAAAATTTTGCCTTGACCTTGCTGCCCATAATCAGTCACAGCCAATGTGTTGTTTGGACGAAATATTTCCTGTTTTCAGTTATAATGTAAAAAAGGGAGGTTTTCATTTGAAAATATTCGTTTGACCTTGAAAGTCGTAGTCAATGTCATTGTCAAAGTCTTCGTCATTTTGCCATCTCAAAACTTTTATTCTAAAATGCACAGTTTCTTAAAAATGGGACACCCTTATATAGGGTGCGCCATCTTTTATGTCGGTATGTAAACAATGAATAACTTTGACATTTACCAACATTGATTTGGTTATACGTGTTTTTTAAACGTCTGTCAAGTACAATTTTAACCATGAATCGCTTCATACCGAAGCTACGCGCCGAAATAGTGACAATGTACATTGAAAATAGTGATTCAGTTGTGTTAACGCGTATATCTTCGAAAATATCGTGGCAAACCGGCACCGTCTGATAACGCTATCTGTCGTTCGGTTTCGAATTTTGTCGAGTACGGGACAGTAGGAAATTGGCAACATACCGTTCATTAACGACCAAGACGTTCCAATGAACTGGTTACTGCAATCAGAGAAAGCGTTGCCCGGAACCCAAAAGTGTCCTAATGTCACGGCGGTCAGCATTTTGGCGTCAGTGGAACCACTTTGCAGCGCAGTTTGAAGGATGATTTGCAAAGTAAAGGAAAACGCATCAAAAAGGGCACATTTTGCTTTGGTCACTTGATCGATGTATTCAAAAAGTAGTCCCAATAAATTGTAAAGGACCAAAAAATACATCATATACAGTAATCTGTTTTTTGTTTCAATCTTATGCAATCTGTACATACCGACATAAAGTATGATGGCGCATCCTGTATGACATTACACTTGTTTGTCATCCAGTATGTCAAAGGCTATGTGAACTGAAATGTTACTGTTTACCGATTACTTGAGCTCCCAAAATTATGTTGGTTTCAAAATTATTGCATGATGGTTTTTTAATATTCATTGTTCCAAATATGTATTCGCAATACTTTGACACTTTTTTTGTTATAGATTTCATCTATACACTGTCTCACATTGAGTTAGTCAAGATTGGCCTGTCCATTATTGTAAGTTCTATAGTTGAGGCTAAGACGTCACAGGTGGATAATTTAGTGCTTCCTTTAATTACATATATTATACTTATGATATAAGCATTTTTTGAGCACCTCCAATATTGTTTTTGTTAAATAAACTAGTCAAGATACCAACCTTCAAACTTTTGGAACTGTGATCCAGTAGATTTCTGTAATGTTAAGGCCAAAAATAAATTGTTTTTTATATGCTTGTTACATTGTTTTATGTTTCTTTATATACTCAGTGACATAGAAGTGTTACACCCAGAAAAATTAATAATGACTATATTTTAGAGCATGCTGAGGCAACAATGTCAGCGTTTTATCTTTGTGTTTGATTGTGTTAAAACGTTCTCTTAGTTTTTGTGGAGAGAGCAGTTTCTGAGAGCCGAGTAGTACAGATATTTTTAGTTATTGCCCTTTCATTTACTAGTGTTAAGCATAACAAAAGACCTCAAGTTCGAAGACCTGCAAATTATCACCATGCTAACAACTTTGATAGTGGTAGAATTACTGCATATCGTGTTGTTGGTTTGCCTACTGCGAAATTGGCCGCCGTGTTAATTGTACTGCAATGACGGTAATGCGTGTGTGTCGTGTGTGGATAGAAGAAGGTAGAGGAACACGAAGAAGGTCAACTGGTCCACCGAAGCGTACCACGGAGCGTCAAGATAGATGTCAGACAACTAGCCTTTCAAGACAGTTTGGTACTACGCGACAGATCGCTGACCAATGGTTTTGGAGAGAAAGGTAGACCTGTTACTATGCGTACTCTCTATCGACGCATTCGAGCCTTTGGACTTTTTTCATACTGTCGACGGTTAGTGCTTCCTCTGAATACGACCACTGTCGTCCACGTTTGAACCGGAGCAGAGAACGGCAACATTGGGAGGCAGAATGGTATAATGTCATCTTCAGCGATGAATCGTGATTCTGTCTAGGTACGCACGATGTTCGTAGAAGGGTAAGACGCCGCCGTGGAGAACGGCGTGTTATTGGATTTGCTGTTGAGAGGCATGTACACAGGTCTGTTGGTGTAATGGTTTGGTGGGCTATTGCCTATGGTAACCGATCACCCCTTCTCTTTCTTCAAGGCAATATGACTGCTGCGTGTTGTGTTGATGTCCTACAAACCACTTTACTGCCGTATCTAGAGGGCCGTCCACACGTCCTTTTTCAGCAGGGAAACGCACGGTCCCCAATTGCTCTTCGTACTACGGACTTTCTTCAAAAAGCAGACGTTAATATTTTGCCGTGGCCACCCCGTTCACCGGATTTAAATCCCATCGAACATGTGTTGGATATGATGTGGAGAAGACTATTCACTTTGCACCATCCGCCACAGCTAATCCACGAAGTTCGAGGTGCTTGGAGTCAGGTGCCACAACCAGACGATGATCTCATTTTGTCAATGCCTAGCCGTATAGAGGAGTGTATTCAGCTGCGGGATCGCTCAACACATTATTTTTTTTTTATTGTCAATAAAATTTCGTGAGAATGTTATCGTTTCATTCTTGATGTAAGACCTCATTGCCAAAAAATCAAGTTGAAAAAATTATTTTTTCTGTTTCGTGTCACCGAGTATATTACCTTATCCCAAGTGCCTGAATACACTCGAAAATCTTATATGATTTTCATGGTCTCTGCTCAGCTTTAGTTGAAAAAATATATAACATTATTATAGTTTCCCATGACCAAATGTAAAATTTCATTGCCTATATTGGAGTTTTTAAGCAATAATTATAGTCTGTCAACTTACTTTGCTATTGGAATCGAGCAGATTAAAAAGTTATTAAAGAACGAGATTCAAATTAAACTTTAGCAAATCTAGTTTTTGGGAGCAGCAAAGGTGGAATTTCAAAATAACTACAAAACGAATTTTACTGTAAAAATATTTAATGATAAGTATTTAAAGTATCCAAAATAACATTTGTATCATTCAAAAACACAAGTAACAAAATATATAACATTAAACATATATTGTGCGAAATTTACGAGTTTTTCGTGGGTACAGCTGTTACCACGCACTTGACTTCCTGATACTGTTGGAATCCATAATCGCCCATCTCCCTACCGATACCTGAATCTTTGTAACCGCCAAACGGTAGATGGCAGCCTAGTACGTTGTAGCAATTCACCCACACTGTGCCGGCCTTGATTCCTTGTACCAGGTAGTTCACTTTGTCCAGATCTTTGGAGAAGACAGCGGATGCCAAACCGTAATTCGTGTTATTCGCTCTCTCGATCAGTTCATCTAGGTGTTTGAACTTCATGATCTGCTGAACTGGACCGAATATCTGGAAAAAACAAAAATATAAAATCATAGTTCAGTAGAGTAGATGATGTACTGTCTGCCAAAGTGAAAAGTTCGCCATATATATTAACCTAACAAACAAGGCTAAAAATTGCTTTAGAATAACCTAAGCCTAAAATGTTCTGCGGGGTCTTGTATGGGAAGGTTTGGGCTTTAATTTAGACACATGGTAACATGTTGAGTTATTTAAAAAGCGTGCGCCAGCAAGCATCAGACCATCGAAGAACTCAAGGCAAATTCTTACCGGAAACACCGTCATACCACCCGAGATGCTCGAAAAAGTAAAGGAAAACGCATCAAAAAGGGCACATTTTGCTTTGACCACTTGATCGATGCATTCAAAAAGTAGTCCCAATAAATTGCAAAGGACCATAAAATACCTCATATACAGTAATAGGTTTTGTAATCTATAATTATTTATTATATATTCTGAACAAAATATGGAGCATTTTTTCCTCGAGGGCTTCATTAAAAAGATATTATGGGTTGTTAAAGTTTAAAAATAAAAAACAGTTTTTTTAATATCTTCAAAGCCGTCAACTGGAATGAACTAAAATTTGATATGTGGATTTACCTAAGTAAGGTCCACATTCAAAATTCTTTACTTAAAATTAACGTGCACCAGTGGCGGAGATACTGGGGATTAGTGGCATTATTTTTCCAAATAAAAATAGTATGTTTTTTTTTTCGAAACGCGCAATTTTTCGAATTTTACCTTCAATTTTCTACAAATAATTATTGTTTTCTCCTAGAGTACACTGTTTTCGAAAAAATAAAAATAATACAAATTAGATCATTCATGAAGAGCCCAGATACAATTAGTTTCAAAATAAAATAGGAGGCCTTGATACCAAATTGAGGTTTCTTGGGAGATAATTTGTCAAAGTTATATGTTATAGGGTTGTTATCGTTACTACTACCATTTTTTTAAAGTCAAGTCAAAAGCCTCTTTTTCAATTTTTGAGTGTTGTGAAATGGAATTTGGCAATGATGAGTACGCCGATATTATTTTTGTGTACGGGTCCTGTAATGGAAATGCTTTAGCGGGTATTTCGGAGTATCAACGTAGATTTCCTGACGACGCCAACCTACCCAAAGGTTTTTACGTGTTCATTTCTAAGACTTCGGCAGTATGGAATCGCCAAACTTAATTAGAGCCCATGGTGTTTAGCATACTGTTCAAGAGGAACTGGAAGTGTTAAATTAGGCGGATTGCAGCCCAGTTACCATGTTCCTGACGTCTTGCGTGGAGAATTTTAAATCGGGAAGTTTTACATCCTTACCATCGGCAAAATGTGTAATGTCTGCGAGGAGACTGTGTTAAAATTTTAAACGTTTCATTTGTATATTCAGATTTTGTTACTTAAGTTATGTTTTTGTTATTTACATATACTGGTATGTATTTATATTTCTGAATAACATTTCTGTATGAAAATGTCTTTGTAAGAAATAAAAAGTTTTTTTTTTAATTATCGCCATTTCACTAAAAAATAAAGTAAAAAATACAAAGACGTACAGTTATCGCGAAAGGGAAGTGGATAGATCAGCGCGTCATAAAATGTTAATTTGGAACGGGAAGCGGATAAATCAGCAAGCGGCGTTTTCCCCGTAAGGACAGGTATATTTCGTAACAAGACCTTTTTTGTTCAAAATCATCCGCAAAAAACTGGAAATAGCATTACAAAGAATTCTTCGTTTCCCGCTAACATCGCCGCCGCTGCTGATGGGACAATCGAATAGGGAGAAATCCCCCTTGTCAGCGATGATTTATTTCTTCGCCAATCTTCAATAGAAATGGCATGATTTACAGCTCAATAAGATGTTCCAACATTAGAAATAATTGAGTTATTGTCGCAGCCGCTACAGTATAGTGTGATTTGTAGCTTTGGAAGAAAATTTAAGGAATATGTGGAAAGACCCACACCTCAGATGTCTCTAAATCTAGAGGTTGACGGGTGCTAACCCGATGCAAATTTGTTTAAACATTCTTTTAAACAAGTTACCAGACACTGTGTATTTCGCTCTAACCCTTTTTCTGGATCATTCTGAAAAAAAAGGTTCGTAACAAATTCTCCCTTAATACGGGCGCGTAAGTCACGAACCTGATACTTCTTGCTAAAATGAATGGGTGGCCCTAAAAGTACCATTTTCCTATTCCGAATAGGATCTCGCGACACTACGCAAAAATTCTTGCACGTCTGTACCCTCGACCAAAGCTGGTAACTTCGACAAGTCGGTGGGCAGATCATGTTTTCGTTGAAATCGACGATATGTCCCAAAAATCCAAATCCAACTGCATTTTCAAGTAAAAGGTATAGTGAGTTTCAGGAGAGAAATGTTGCATATACGTTCGAAATTTCATAGTGAATCACTGAATTATCCGAGACCAAAAAATAAACAGTTTAAAATCGGACAACAGTAGTACTGAAATCACTTCTAAAGTCGTCCTTAAAAACTGTTTCGAAATTCTTTGATATCCCGTATTGAATTGGACCAATTGTTGCCTGAGGAGTTATTTGCCTGAACATTTGAAATGCTCTACAAAAACGCCAGTTCCCAAAACGAAAAATTCTAAAAAATGCAGTAATGAGTCCAGTTTATAGAAGAAAATAAGATTTTAGTGGAAACACAAGCAGGCTTTCGAAAAAAATTTTCCACCTGGTTACTGAGAATTGAAGAAGAGCCATAGACTCGGAAGTTGCCATTGCAGTATTTTTGGATATAAAGAGGGTATGTGAAACAATTGTTAGGGATATTTTAGTTAGGTAAATTGGAGGCATATCCGAAAGTGGACTGGTTTAAAAATGATTTATCTAAAGGGATGCAAGTTACAAGATTTAATAACACTATTTTATCAACAATTGAAAATACGTTAGGTGGGCAGTATCCTGGGACCACTTGTTTTTATTTTATTCATTAACTGTTTGCCTGTTAATTTTTTATATTCATTTTGAGAAAATTATAAATAAGATTAGTAGTAAAAAAAATATTTATAATTCTATCATTCTTCCAAATTTCTTGTACTGTTCTACTATTCCATATTTATCTGATGATACCATTCTTGAAATACTGCAAATTTTACAAAATCAACGCTTGAGAGTAATACTGCATAAAGATAAATATACTCTTACTAGAAAAATTCTTAACAAATTTAAATGGCTCATTGTGAAACATTTTATGTTATTCAATTATAAAGTTAAAAGATATATTTACAATATGTCTAATTAAATCAAAATCATCAAATGCCGACCATCATTTATATAATACCAAAAATACATATGACTCCCAATGAATGTCCAAAAAGTATGTTCCAAATCTGTACTTCATCAAGGGGTGGATCGAATATAATAAATACAGAGATAACAGTCCAGAATACTTTGACAAGATTCAAAGTAAAATTAAGGAATCAAATTACAATTACACCTTACCCAGCATATGCATGATATGGCTTACTAGTTTCAAGTTGTTTATAATTATCCTGTTTTTGTAGGCAAACACGCTAAATAGATATTTTTACTACTAATCCTATTCAAGCGGACACTACAGTTGCAATATGCGACGCGGGGACTAATGATCTCATATTTACCTCTTCTTTGGCCAAAATGTGATGATCTTCAACGTCCTTGAAAACTGTAGGTTTCACATAGTATCCTTCGCTCCCGTGCCTTTCTCCACCATGCACCAGCTTAGCACCTTGCCTCTTGCCTTCCTCTATCATGGACAATATCTTCTTCATTTGTTCCTCGTCCACCTGGGGACCCTGTTCTGTCTCTGGATGGAACGGATCACCTGGAAAAATAGACATTGACGTCAAGTAAACATATACAGAGTTCATTTGAAAACTTTCCACCACAGATGTATCGAAAACCACTGATTAAAAGAAAAAACGCCAAGGCACGTCAACAGATTTGTCAAATGGGACAACTTTTTAACCTAAAACTACTTCACCCCCTTTCACCCTCACCCCCTAGGGTCATTCCCTTAAAAAATTTCAATAACAAGGGGTATCGAGTAATATCTTGTTTGAAAGGTCTTTCAAAATCATTTATTTTGACGTTTGATTTTTTAAAACAGAAGATTCGTTTTCAAGAAAATTAGAAAAATATTTATTTATCTTAAACACTAAAATATCACTTTTTACTTCAATAAGTGTTCAAAACGTTGCCCGATACGGTTTATAATTTAAAACGGAAGCTACCAACATAAACAGCAATTCGGAAGATTAGACGTGGCGGCAAATAAATAACATCCCGTATTTTTTCCGCATTCATTTTATCAACACAGATATCCTGGTCGAACTGTATTTATTGTATCACCTGTTCAGTTATTTGTTGCTAAGGGAACGAAAGAATTTAATTTGTAGTCAGTTACCTTTGAGACAATCTTGGGATAGTGAAAATCAATTTATTGATTCAGATTTTACTTTTTCTTTTTTACGTTTTCCATTGTCCGCACTGATGCGCACTCGGCTCGAGCTGGGCAGGTCTTTCGTGTTCCATTCGAAGCACAGCTCGACTTTTTGTGTTCTATTGACACCCATGCTTGCGCTCAGCTCGCATTAAGTGCAAACATTTTGTAGCTATTATCAATGAAATGAAGTTATGAAAAAAAAAACAGATAGTATGGATGTATACATATTTTATCAAAATTGCTAGATTCTTCATTCAAGAAGTGACGACGAAATGATCGTAGAACTACATATATTGAACAATGAATACTCAAAGACCAAACATAAAAAATTGCATCAAAATCATAAATCATTATACCGAGTCCGTTTCTATTAAAATTTATTTACAAGCTGTTTACAATAAATATAAGATCAGTGATCACTTGGTAATGCGACGATGGTTTCTCGCAGATATTTGATATTCTTCAAACTCGTACTTCTAAATAACAACAAAATGCCAGTAGATTGGTCAAGCCGTTTTTGAGAATTCCTAATTGTTCGTCTCAAAATACCTGTTTTCCGGCCATCACTACTAGTTTATTGAGCAACATACAGGGTTCGTTCAAAGAGCACTTAATAGTACAATACATGTCTTTACCTTGCCGTTATGAATCGCAAACCATTCCGGAAAAAAATGTTACTTTTTGTAATGAAGTTTTTTTTCGGTGGCGTGAATTGTGTACTTTTTGACATCCCCTCGTATTCACGTTTTCTCGAAGACGTTAAATTTTAGATTAATCATTAATTATAGTTCCGGTATTCTAAAATTGGGATAATGCCCTGGTCTATATATTATTTTGTCTCCTATAAAGAGTCTCGAATGTTCAAGCAAACCTGATGTTTTTATGACATACCACAGTCGTTTTTGTTGTCATGTGTTACACACAGAAATTGAAATTTTTCGTTTTCCGTATTAAAATTTATTATAATGAATGAAACGATTTAAATCAATTTTTAAGCCTTGTGGTATCACTAGACGGAATTCAGGACATCAGGAATACGTCATGAGGCAGTACTAATAGGTTCAGGGGTTTGCAGGGGAATAACAACACGCCAAAATGGCGTGTCGAGGCACTGGCTGAAATAGGCATGTAGTGCCCTTATAACGAATGAGAAGTCTTTGTTCCACATCCCGATGCCCTGGAGGACTTGTCACACAAGTCTCTTGGTGTTGTGGGTCCTATAAGGTCCCTGACAGTGGCAAAAAGACACTAAGGTCCCTTTTGGTTGTAGTCCTGGTTTAAATGCACTTTAGAGTGGTCAGCGTGCGGGAATTGCAACTTGCACGGAGCTGATGCACTGCCGGTCGACGGGGAGGCGCTAGAACTGGCCAGAGGCCCTTTTGAGACTTGAAACCCTGGAGGGTCTGATCTAGCCGTTGGGAACGAGATGCCCTAGGGGTGTGGGCACTCATTTTATAGGATACGCCATTAGGAATCGAATAGAAATACTTTTGATTCAATCAAATGCACCACGTCGGCGTCACGACGTCAAGAAGATTCGCAGTGGCGGACGGTATGACGTAGAGACCAAGGTCTATTCTAGAACATTGGCGAGCGCTGTAAAAGCGCGGGTGTATGTACGCCGTTGCTCTTTTCCGTTCTTCTCTCCTGGCAGCCAACCGAAGTACCCGCTTGTGAATATCGACAGAATGCCGAACCGTACCGTCCCGTTTGGTCTATGGCTCTTACTTTGGGCACTTTGAGAGTTGACTGTCAAGTAGGTAGGCTCTGCGCGCCAGTGTTGGTTAAGTGCGGTACTCTTGGACCTCCATTATACCAAAGCGCTTTTATTGAAGATTATTTGCACATATTTATACGAAAGTCCCAGAGATACAAAAGTGTTGTATAGGCTGAGTCATTGTCACAAAATCTTGCGACTCCGATATTATTTTTTTTAAAGGTTTGGTAAACACATTCATGAGAGAGCTATTAGTTTAGATTAAAGGTCCATTAACGATAGTACGCGGCTTGATTTTAGGAGTTTTATGATTGCTTTGGGGTTCAAGAAGCAAGTCAGGAAGGCGCATCTCTGTCTGCAGTGTGCTTACTTCCCTGTGGTGCAGATTGAAATCCAGGCGAGAACGAGACAAACAGAGCTTGAAGTAGACGCGGGTTAACTAAACGCCTGGCCTTATTCTTCACCCAAACATATCCATATTGCTGAAAACCGTTCATCACTTTGGGCTTATGTCATCGCACCATTACCGCTTGCTAGCTTGACCGTATACTGCTTCCGCTTTAACCGCTTTTGATTTCGTTCGATCCCGAAATAACCGATTATGCTCCTTCTCCGCTCTATCGCTAGGGTAGCTAGATTCAGATAGGGATTTCTATCATTTGTACATATAACTTGAGATATCCCGACAGTGCATGAAGTGTATGTATTTGCTGTTAATATACCAGGTTGTGTTATAAGTCTTGCTTTTAATCACAAATACCGTCCTGCCTGAAGTAAGAGATACGAAAAGAGAAGTAGTAGAAGTAGAGTGTAAAGAGTATCTCGAGTCTGACCCTTTGAGCGTCAAGCATCAAATCCCTGAATTATTTTCTTCACTGAAGCTGCCCAGGTGACTGTTTCAGTCTATAGTGTTGTCTCCACACTCTAAACAGGAGGCTGGTGCCCGAGGAGTTGCTGAACTGGAGAGGCAGGTAGTTCGCCAGTTATTGACCCCGAGGAAATAGCGTTACATTTTATGCAAAAAGGACGGGTTAAGTTTTTTCTTCTAAACAAAAGCAAACATTTTGTATTTGTGAGTAATTCGCAACAAAAGATGACACTCACACCCGCTTTGTTTTAAAATGAATAGGTATAGTAACGTATGTTTTTCGAATATCGTAGCGCATTTGTTCAATTACTCACAAATACGAAATGTTTGAATTTGTTTAGAAGAAAAACAAGCAACCTTTGTTTTACGTATAAAAATAACATTTATCTTTCGGAATGGTTTGTCATTCATATCGGCAAGGTAAACACGTGTATTTTGTTATTAAATGCTCTTTGAACTAACGTTGTATATTGCTCAATAAACTAGTAGTGATGGCTGGAAAACAGGTGTTTTGGGATAAACAATTAGAAATTCTCAAAAAACTACTTGACCAATATATATTACTCCCATTCTGTTGTTGTTATTTAGAAGTATGAATCCTACGGATGTGAAGAATTTCTAGTAGTTGCGTGCCTCGTTTTTCGGCCATAACATTTTTGCTATTAGTCGGATCTTTTCACGAGTGGTCTCATTTTGTAGATCTCACAAATATGTACCTAAAAATCCTATATGACAAATCTTTTCGTTCCTATCAGCACTTTCGATTGAATCCCTCAAAAAACGTTTCCGCATTCTTTGTTGTGAACTAAAAGGTTTTCCCACAAAAGTTGGTGTACCCATTTTATGCGTCCATGTTTTAAATACCCCCTTGAACAACTTGCACCAATAAAACCAGACTTTACAATTATTTCTGGGAAATTTGCTAATATGATTAGACTAAAAGTCATTTTACCGAAGAGAATAATATAAAGTAAAGAAGATGTTTCCAACACATATAATTTCGATTTGCAAGAGAAATATGGGGGATTAAAACATCTCTATCCTACCTACAGTCCTCTTCTTGGCTCTTTCAACGGACCTCTCGACAAACTCATCATAGATCTTGTCCTCAACAAAAGTCCTGGATCCTGCACAACACACTTGCCCCTGGTTGAAGAATACACCAAAATGTGCTGCTTCTACTGCTTTTTCTATGTCAACGTCAGCCAGGATGATGTTCGGGCTTTTACCGCCTAGTTCAAGAGACGTACGTTTCAAATTATACATGCCTGAGCCTTGTTGGATCTTCTTGCCTACCTCGGTGGATCCGGTGAAAGCGATTTTATCTACCTGTAAGTATGATTTGGAGCTTGAATTTGAAAAACATACTATTTTCGAAAATGCGACCAAATTATAGTTTAATTGACTTGAATAATACTGGTCTATGAAGTCTTCTTTCTTCATCCGACATATTGTGTAAGGCTTCTGTCAGTTTACTCTCAATAAAAATCGAATATGTGAGACTGGAGGAATAATATTATACTTTGGTTAACGACCTTTCTATGCAGCTTAGGGTAGCATCTACTTCTTGAATGCAAGAGTGCCCCGGAACTGAAAATTTCATTGTATTGTTGTAAATTTTTGTGGGTTTGAATTATGTCGGTAAGGTAAGGCCTCAGTCCACACTGCAAAATAAACTTGTTTTGTAGTAGACAGGTAAGCAGTTATATTGTCAACGTTTAATTTACGTTTATAAAAAAGTTTTTTATATCTGCCTATGGTCATGTCAGGACATTTTTAATATCAAAACATAATAGAATCTTTCCACTTTCCTTATCTTTTTCTTTTCTCTCTTTTTCATTTAAATGATTTATGTAGGTTCTTTCCCCCTCCTCTTCCATCCTAATCTCCTGTTTTTTCACTTTAATTTCTTCGCGAGTATCACATCTGTCTTTATGTAATTTGGGAAAAGCTATGTTGAAACAACCAAAAAAATATTTTTCTGTATATGCAAAAGGACACCGAATATTTTTCTTTATCATTTGCATATTCCAAATACATTTCATATAACTTCTTTATAATTAATCCACTTTCCAAACTAACGTCAAAATATTATAACAAGGTAGTATGTTGGTTGCAACATAAGAACACATTTTCTTGAGTTTTAATTTATTTATTACAAAGTTCTATGTTCAACATACACCTTTGGTACACATGATACATATATTTTACAACATGCACCCTTGATTTTCTGTTGATAACTAAGGTTCTATGTTAGCTAGAGGTTTCCTTCCAAGTTGAAAATATAGTAATTGTCCTATAGAACTTCGTAATACCGAAAACCCGAAAAAGTTAAAAATGTCACATACAACCTTGTAATATTATTGTGACGAAATGTTAGTCAAGCAAAAGACAAACCTCAAAAAGTTGAGATTTCCGGTATTCAGCCAAAGTTATCGTCAACTTTTTTAAAAAAAAAAATTTAAATCAAAAGTGTAACACCAACCTTATAAATATAATAATTTGTAATCATGAACAATACATGGTGATAAATTTGAAATGGATAAACAAACTAATGAACTAAATTTGTCACAACTAGCTGCAAACACACTTAATGGCTTGAATATGACACAAGCTTTTCAGTAAATCATAAAACATTCACTTGTGTGTTAAAGTAGTACCAATCATTTTCCCCTAATAATTCAAGATAAGTCAAAAAAACCGCTGATGCAGCTAATTTCAATACTCGACTACAAGAGCTACATACTTACTTAATATTAATGTGTCTGTCAAAGGTCTAGTGTAGTGCGAAAATATGTAAAATGTCTGAAAAATACCATTTCTCAACATGTTATATAATATATCATTTTTCTAAAAGTTTACTAACTTCTGAATATCTATTTACCTTGGTATTTGCAACCAGAGCTGCACCAGCATCCCCAAAGCCAGGTACTACGTTAACCACACCTGCTGGGAATCCAGCCTCTTTAGTGAGTTCCGCCAAATATAGTGATGTTAAAGGGGTTTGTTCGGCGGGTTTCAGGATCAACGTGTTGCCTAAAAAAAATAATGTGTGTGAATTTTCTCTAGATTTACTATTCCAAAAATCCCGAATCCGGCAAATAAACTCGAAAACCATGAGCCTACTCGCAAATGATTCTACCCAGGCATAGATATAGCGTTTTCCCCGCGGTCACCTCGTATTTGATCTTAGCCTCTAAGGCATTTTCAAAGCCAAGTCCATTATTTAAACGAACTATTTTTAACAGGGGAAATGTATACAGATGAAAAATGTACTGTTGATCAAGTCCTTGACCTCCAACTGGCCTATGGGAAAAGTAGTTTCGGTTAATTTCACTGAATTTTTTAAATATCATTCGTCTTGTCATCCCGAACAAATGTTTCATTCGGCACAGGTCCCCAATCTCAACGGGTTCCAAGATATAGGCCATCCAAGTCGGTATAATTGGGTATCGGCACTCAAATATCTGCCTTGAGTAGCCTATGCATATTAAGGCATTTGTTCAGAATACCGAGACACATAACATATGAAACATTCAGCGAAATTGACATTACTTCTTTGGAGACGCTGCAGGTTCCTGTCACTGGCGAGCGCTACCGTGTTATGGTGCAAAACTATCTGGCTCCTCAAATCCAACAATTTAACCTGCAAAACATGTGGTTCCAGAAGGACGGAGCAACTTGTCACGCAGCTAGGGAGACAATGAATGTTTTTCTAATAGTATTTCCAGGACGTTTAATTTCTCGATTTGGTGATGTCAACTGGCCACCAACGTCACCGTATTTAACGGCTCCTGCCTTTTTTTATGACGATTTTTGAAAGACAGGGTTTATGCCAACAATCCAAATACTGTAGAGCAACTGAAGAACAATATTTCGGAAGCGATTGAACATATTCCTCCCGAAACATACCAAAAAGTGATGGAAAATGTAACTAAGAGGGCTAAGGTTTGCGCGGCTTCTAGAGGCGCACATTTGTCTGATATTATTTTTCATACATAATTTCTAAGTTTCGATAAAAGATTAAGATGAAAAAAATGGACGTATTTTATTTCATTTCACAAATATTTAAGATACAAACCAGTCAGTTACATATCGGCCTGAGCCCATTAAGGAATTTGTTCAGGTCGCCGTGACACAACACAAAATTCAGCGAAATTAACCGACGCCACTCTTCCACTCAAAGTAGATTCGAGTAGGGTCAATACATTATACCGACTTGGACGGCCTATATCTTAGGACGCGTTGAGGTTGGGGGGCCTAGTGCCCATTGAAACATTTGATCGGGATGCCAAGACACAAAACAAAAAAATTAGCGAAATTAACTGAAACCACTTTTCCCATAGGCGTGTTGCCGGGTCCTTTGGCCTTTAAGGGTCTTATAGGTGATAGAAAATCGTACACCTATGCCTGGGTACAATTTCTTTTAGATTCGTGGTTTGGAGACTATTTGCTATATCCACACCTTTTGAACAGGCAAAAACGAGAAACCCTACAATAAAGTTATTAGCCTGTCAATGACGCTAACTAAGTTGGGTATTCTCGGTAATGACCGACCAGAACACATTATTGGCCATATAACTTTGTCAATAGATCGGAGCTGTTAACTTGTTGGCCGGCAGGAGACATTTGTGCCCGTCAAACAGCTGTCAATAATGATAGAGAAGCATGCAGAATTAATGTATTATTTAAACACTAATGCTGTGGTACAAACTAAACGTGATGATGCGAATACAATATGTTCCCCAGTTTCTCGTTATATAAACATTGCCCAGGCCTTTTCCGTCATTATTGTCAATGACCGGGCAAGAACGTTAAATTGAGAACATTAATCAGTTTGCCCACCTGCGATGGTGGTTAACGTCAATGCCCGGACAAGAAGCTGATGTGAACTAGAAAGCTCATTTCAAGATATCAGAGAAATTGTGTATGAAAATTCTAATTTGCATAGATTTTTGACAACATATACAGGTTACATTTACGAACCAGTAGCCAAGGCCGGTCCGATTTTCCAAGCCGCCATCAGCAAAGGGAAATTCCAGGGGATAATCTGTCCGCAAACTCCAACGGGCTCATGTCTGGTATACGCAAAGTATTTTCCGTCTACCGGGATCGTCCTCCCGTGCAATTTGTCCGCCCATCCCGCACAGTATCGCAGTACCTTTATGCTGCTGGCTACGTCGATGTGGTACGAATCGCGGAACGGCTTGCCGTTATCCAAAGTCTCCAGGCTCTATGAAGAACAAATAAAGAATGAAAATCAAACTATAATAATAATATTTATTCCTTAAATGCAATATGAAAAATGAGTACATATGAAAGAAGAGCCATATAAAGGGGGCATTGCTTGCTGCATGAACCATTAATGTTGCAATTGTGCTTAGAATTAAAACACAAATAATGGATGGCGCGGATCCAGGATCACATCTTGAGGGGGCGGAGGGTTTGGGGGGCAAGTAGTGTGGGGGTATTGTCAAGCCATTTGCGATTATTATAAAGTAATTAAGGAGGGAAATAATAAACAGCAGTGTAAGAACAGAATGCACATTTATTTTAAGATTTCAAACAAAAAACAATATGGTATCTCCTCCTTTTCCCTTTACTAATTTTTTTCCTACAAGTCTAAGGCCTTCGGAGGCAATAGCACAGTTGCCCCCCTCCCTCGATCCGCTTCTAAATAATTACACAACTAATCAACGAATCATTGAATGTTTACATTTACTATTAGTTTGTGTATGTTAGGCGTTGATAATGAAAATAACCATTCTTTATTTTTTTTTTTTGAAATTATCCCCAAAGAGTAGGTTCTTTATATTGTCACATAAATTTACGTATAATGTTGGTCCTAAATAAAGGTATGATCGCTGTTAGGTCTAGGTACAACCGTTCCTCGTAGAATGTCTTGTATGGTGATGGTGTTTGATTTTTTATCGTTACTAGGAAATTTGTCACAGCTGGTGATAGCATGAAAGAAGTAAAGCTGTTTCATGTCATATACGTGTATTTTTTGTATAAGACATCAGTGGTGAAATATAATTTCGGTTAGTTAAACATTGTTTTCAGAAAGATTGTTTTAAAACTTATATGCTAGTAATATACCATAGGTTAAATGTCGTTTGATCAAGGTATGGAATAAGGTATACAAATATTTCTCTTTTAGAATATCTTTGACGCATTTAATTTTATACGTACATGAGACAAATCCAACTTTTTTAAAACAGATATGAACATCGCAACGCAAGTGTGGATCCAAGAATATTCCAAGGTATTGTGTTGAATCTGATGCTATATTAATTTCCAATTTCTGATTATTTATGAAAAAATCGATGTTTCTGTAATTTGGTAGGTATTTAGAATAGGAAGGTAATAATAAAAAACGCGTTTTACAGTAATTAATGTTCTGTTATTGTAAATTTGGATATTTGAACAGATTGCTGTCTATTAGAAAAGAAAACTTTCTAATAGTGAGTGCAATTTTCACCGAAAGCCAATTCTCTCTAATGTGTCTAACAAAATGTATGGTTTACTGTGTCAAAAGGTTTCCTTAGATCAACAAAAACACAAAGACAAGGTATTTTGTCAATCAAGATTCTGGTGTATTTGATTAACAACATCTAATATTGCGTCGGATGTAGACTTCTTCCTGGTAAATCCATATTGGTGTTCACATAAAATTTCATATTCAGTGAGAAACTGATGCATTCGAGCAGATAATATTTTGTCAATTATTTTTGCTATATTAGCAATAAGTGATTTCAGTTTTCTTTTTGCGAGTATTCAATGACATGATGGTTTGAAGGTGTCTGAAAAGGGTTCGACTGATGTTAAAGAATCGAAAGCCCATCAGGGTGTTCACTGGCCGGAGTACTCAAAAAAATGGCGCTAAGTAGGTTGACTGCATTTCCCACACAACGCCGACATCAGTTCATAAAGGATTATGTTCAGCAAAAGTTAGACCACTGAGAAAAAAGTTAGTTACGAACATATATAACAGAGAAATTAAATGGATCAAGTCCGTCAAACAGGTCCATACAATAAACATTGAATCTAATAGATTCAATCTGAAAGATTTTTTTTTATTTTAAGAAAGTGAGTGACTTTCTATATTAGAAACTTTACCACCCTGTATCTCAATGGTTTAGGACAAACATTCATATGTACTTTTCTTCTTAGAATGGACCTAAAAATCGCACCTTAAATATTGGCATTCGATTAGGAAACACCCTAAATAGCATTTTAGCGTATATGAATAATAGATATTTATGTATATATGGCATAAAGAGGGCCAGTGACGTAGTTAGATGAGGAGCGCCACGGGCGCAAGCACGCAAAGGGAATGAACGCTTATTACACCTTAGATACATACAAATGTTATTTTACCTATGATCATCTAGAATCAAACATTTTAAAGAGCATAAAACATAGACTAACAGAACTATTGTATCACTGATAGCTGGGTCGTTGATTAACAAATGATCCAAATATGGCTGGTGCTGAAGATACTTTAGTAGAAAACATAATGATAAAATAAACTCTACTGCCGGATCTTAGATTGATACAATTTTTTCACACCACTCGTACAACAAACATCAATCTACTGTTTGTTTAGTGACATAAATCAATTAAAAGTGTTTATACTAGGCGATGCACGAATTATCACTCTCTTATCTGCACTCTAATATATGTTTCAGCAAACGTTTTCACACACTTATTTGTTTAGCATGCTATTAATAACTGTTAAGCCCCTATTGATATTTATCTATCAGGCCACCGTATGTGAATATTTGCAAAAATTATACGAAAAATAACAGTTTAGTAAAAATGATTGATGCAAATAATTCAAACATGCGAGTTACTTTAACTGCCCAGGGACATTATCAGTCCATGGGCTGAAAAGTGGTCTTAACGAATGGAAAATGTATTCAAAATTTACACATTACTGCTGGATCTTAGATACAGACAATTTCTTCACACCACTCGTACAACAAAATTAAATTTACTGTGTGTTTAGTGACATAATCAATTAAAAGTGTTTATATTTCGCGATGCACGCATTATCACTCTCTTATCTGCACTCCAATATATGTGTCTGCAAACGTTTTCACACAAGTATTTGTTCAGCATGCTGTTAATAACTGTTAAGCACATATTAATATTTATTTGGCAGACCACCGAATGTGAATATTTGCAAAATTCTAGGAAAAATATCAGATTACTGAAAATAAAAGTCAATATCGGTTAAGGAATAAATATTGAAATTTTATGCAGGTACTGTAACGAAAAAATAAGTCCACCATTTAGTAGAATGTACTTTTCCTTTTTTATTTATAATGATCCAAAGGAAACAATTGCTTATACTAACAAATAGAAATGAACCTTGAAGAATACTGACAGTATACATGTTAAAGAAACCGTGATCAAGCACTCTGAATAGAGTATAATATTTCAAGTTCTAAAAGAAATGATTTGCTGAACGGTGTAGAACAATTTAACATTAATTATGCAGGTGTTTGGCGTTTACCATTCATAGAATCCATTTGAATACCAGGAAACAAACGGGTTGAAATGATAATGCTATTGCAATGAGAAATGTAAGCAAATAGGATCAAAGAAACTGCTTTTCCGATAACCACAATATACCGGGTGTTTCAAATTCGACTCTCACCAATAGGACCCCTGAAATGGTAAGAGATACGAAGTCTGTTAAATCGCGGCAACGTTGCATATTTATGTAAATGAGAAAATGACACATCGAAAGTGTCACAATTCGAGGTATTTTCGGAGAATTTTCTTTTCACCAATATCGTTTTTATATTATTCTTCCATTATTTGAGATGAGACAGAACGGAAAATGTTCTACAACTCTTTTGTTTTAACGCGTATTCATAAAGTCTAGTAGAGACTTTTTAGGTTTCAAATTATTTGCAGATTTATCAAATGACAATATTAAATACTCACAGCCACATATACTGCATCTCTTTCCAGCAAATCAGACAATTTGTAAAGTAGTCGTCCCCTATCTGATGCATCCAGGGTTCGCCATTTTGAATTGAACTGGAAGGCACTGCATGCCGCATCTACAGCTAGATCAATGTCTTCTTTGCCTCCCTTCTGAATTTCTGTGATGGGAAGACCAGAAGCAGGGTTGATTGTTGGAAAAGTTTGCCCTGAACGCGATTTGTGCCATTCATTGTTGATGAAAATCTATTAAAAGAACAATTATTAGTAAGGGCTAATACCACCAAATTGAGACCAGACAGACAGAGCAAGCCTAAGATTTGTTTATCCCAAAATATCAGTTTGTAGTAAGGATGAAAGTGCACTTGACATAAGTTAATGTTTTGAAAGTCTTGTCGATAAATTCGTATTTTTAATGTCATTTTTTGAAAGTGCGAGTGTTTGCAGATAATTGTGGTGTTAGACGATTACAGGACACGATACTTATTGCATAATTTGCAAACAGCAGCACAAACCGAATGAAGGTAGATCTTTTCACTTTCCACCGGTAAGAATTATTATGATGTAGATACAACGTCGTCACTTTGGTAAGCATAATAAGCAGTGCAATGTAAACATATAGGCTTGGCTCCTTCTAATCTATTCGAATTCGTTGGGGAGCACGGATAGAATTTTCAAAAATCAGGGTTTATTTATGGATAAACAACTTTCCAATGTAGCCTTTATGAAGATATACTTTTCCAGTTCATAAATACACGTCTAAAAAATGTTTCCGATGAAAATCGAAATTTTCTGATTTGATATCTATTTCATTTGGTATAATAATGTCTCAATCATGTTTACATAATGATTTAACAATATGTTGTTTGACCCAGCAAACTATTGTATAATACGTTAATCTTTATCTTAATATCGTTCAGAAAGCAGAATTCTGTTTTTAATGTAAATACAGTGTGATATCATATCAAAAAATGCAAAGTATAAGACTATAGAGGCCTTACACGGATGCTTACTAATCATGCATATTAACTACATTCCATCACACAAAACTACAGAACCAACCCAAAAATGTACTTCTTATGTCAACAAAAATTACGTAGGGTGTTTCTAAACAATATCTTTTATACAACCCTAGCGGGTTAGGTACCAAAAACTGTACTGAAGAGCATAAAATATAATTTTTATCAACATTGTTGTCATATTATGGTCAAATCATGATAAAATAGTTCAATAGTTTTCCTGACGTCCCTCATCTATATATGTATATATACACTGAAAACCAAAAATTTGTCTGACGGCTTGAGTCCAATGTGTACGAGAGAGAAGTGTGTATAGATACATGTAAGAAAGAGATAGAAGCCGGCTACATAGCGAAGCTCATCACCGCATTCAATGTCACTTCAACGTCAAGAGTGTTTTCTTAAATGAAACCCCGATTTTTGACACTGGAACTGGAAAGAACTAAGGATTTTAGATAAAGTACATCGTTGCCCATGACCTTGACCAAGGTCTTCATAAATTAAGATGGGTATTAAAGTTGTAAGGTCTGAAAAGATTCATCTAATGGCGACCTTAAAAGTGACCTTGACGGTGACCTTCTCGCTTATTCGAAGGTTACGATAGTTTTCTTAAGTGGAAACTCATTTTTGACGATCAGAAGAAATAGAGCAAAAAACTTTGTCAAGTGCGTTCATGACCTTTACTATAACCATCAAGGTCATTGAAAGAACAAATAAAATTTTAACCATCTATTTTTAATATCTGAAATGCAATTGCGGATAAGTTCAAGTATCTTCTTGCCAATGACCCTGACCATAACCTTCAAGGTCAGACAATTTTTAAAGTAAACTCTTTACTTTTTGTCAGGGATATAAAAAAGCAAAACATTGAAATTAATTTAATTTTGCATAAAAAAGATTCATTGCCAAAATAACTATTGCATTACTTTGAACACTGAATTTCTTTCTCTAAAACCAATCTCCTTCACACTAATGCAAAATGAATGATTTCTACTTAACACTTCTTCCATGCCAGCGGAGACGCGAGTTTAGAATTGTACAACATAAACATAAATAATATAGATGGCTATTTAGTAATACAAATTTCTCATATTATCTCAAAAACTTGAAATATGATCATTTTTTGTTACACTTATCAAAAAACCCTTGAGTATGGAAACATTTTTCATGTTGAGAGATTAATTAAAATTTATTGTGCAAATGTCATGAGATTTATATATATATTTACATAGATTAGATAGGCTGATGTATTCATTTTGTTGGGTTGGAGTATATTTTAGTCCTATCTTGTCTGATATTTCACAGTGATGCACATTTCTATTCTACAGTTGGAAGAAGTTTCATAGTTGCATACTCATACATTAGTTATTTTCAAGAAATGAATTATTGAAGTCATTAATTTTAAACTATCTGCCAAATATGAGTGTTATGGGCTTCATTTCTTTGTACTGGCTCACACCTTGCCAATTATCACAACCATTGTTTGACACTCTGCTAAATATATGGCCAGATCACAACATGTATTCTGATTATTTATCAGACTCTGAGTCCAATAAATAGAATTAGTACTGTTTGCACATTCAGACAGATTTTGATGACTAATACAAATTAGTTCCAAAGCATTTTTGTTTAACTTATTTATTGTTTTGTATATTTGAGTCTTTTTTGAAACAGTTGGATCAATGGCAATCTAGTAGAGTTGTCCGACTCGAGATTTTATCTTCCTCTATAGTAACAATAATGACTTATGCAGAGAAATCCAATTATCACTGGCCATATACATATTGCACACTTCTCGCGCTTCTCTCTCGTACACGTTATGACCTCAGGGGTATAAGGTGAGGTCCAAATTTGGCAGACGTCGTAATCTGTACGAGAGAGAAGCGCGAGAAGCGTCGAATATGTGTGTTAGAAAGAGTGCGCCGATGGCGTCCGTGACCTCGGGTTGCTAGGCAACGAGGTGCTTCTATCTCTTTCTAACACACGTACTGCACGTTTCTAGCGCTTCTCTCTCGTATACTTCAAGACGTCAGTGGTATTTGGTTTTCAGTGTATCAGCAAATTATCTTTTATGACTCCCAATCTACCAATATTTATGCCACAATTTTGTTCAAACATCGCGTGCCACATAGTCAAAAACATATTAAATCTAGACACAATTACTAAACACAAATGAAATTAAATTAATTGGCATTGCAATGATATGAGTATCTACAACTAACAATGTTACTGCTTGTTAGTAACAGTAAACAATATAGAGATTGATGATAAACTGTGATATTAATATTTAAGTGATTTTGCAGTCTTGTACAATTGATTAGGAACTAAAAATAGCTGTTTACTGTTTAATGAGATGAACAGTATCTTTAAAAAAGTGCTCGTCATTTTTTTCATGGACTTGTCACTTGATCTCCATATTTCATAATTCCTGGGGGCTTCAATGAACTGTGAGAAAAAATAGTGATTTTTTTGTAGATAACCACCATTTTTTTTCAATAATATTGTGAGTAATTATGTTTGAACAGTAAACATTTTGCAATGAATGATATTTGACCTTCAAATTTTTTTACATGTGAGATAGTATCCTTAGGTCTTATGACAAGTATTGAAAGTACTGTATTAGGAACACAGGGACTATATACAAATCCTCAGCTCTATACGAAGCTTCGGTTTTGCTGAAACATTGTGTTTCAACATTTCAGAGATTCCCACTCATTTTCAAAAGCATTTTTTTTTCGAGGGTGGACACTTGTGGGTTAGAAGCTGTATAGGGTGCATGATTGTAAATTGTTGCATCTTTGGTATCAGTAAGAGATCTTCCATTATTAAGAAGCTGCTTATCTGCCAGTGAAACAGAAATATGATAGATTTATTTTATACACTTTGATATGTAGATGACAAAAATTTATCATACCCAAGACAACCTATCTAGTCAAGCTTCAATTTGAATAGACTTGCATTGAAATTTCAAGCAGAGACATGAGACATATAGAGTCAATCTACTTGACGCCATTTTTTGAGCATTATGCAAAAAATGTTTGACGACGAGTTCAAAATTTTTAATGTTTGAGATGGCATCATTAGGTCCTCTGGCATAAGGTGGAAGTAATGCATTTAGGGACATAGAAACTACAGAGCCAGAATAGGTTAAGTCTATGCTTGCCTAAAATGAGTGTTATATTATATGTTGTTTATGTTAATATTGTGAACTATCGTTTTCTACTTCTGATATACCATAACGACAGTGATAGCCTAGTGTAGATATTTTGTGATGACTCGCACAAAAATTCCATTTGACCGGTTAACTGGTTACCGGTTATATAAATAAATGCAGCCGAAAACAATCAAATAAGTATAATTATATAAAAGACGTCGTCCAATATATCTTAGTAAAATTGAGGTTTTACAAGGAAAGCAATAATAATTTGCATTTCTACCTAATGATGTGAACCAAATTTTATTTACAACTTACCCCAGAATAAAGAACATCAGGAGTCGAATGTGGTTTTGGCAGAGCGCTTGAAAAATTGCATTTTTGAATTACATTCACTGTATAACGAGCTACTTTCAACATTTTTCTATACAATAGTAAATAAGCTAAATTCACCCCCGTACACTTCTACCGGAGATGACACCAAATACGAATGAATGTTTCTTCAATCTGCAAAGGTGAAATTCGAATCACACCAAAATCGTTTGAAATCAATTCAAGTTTGCATTCCCTATTACGAAACATTTATGTAAGTAATGGATAGATGGCAGCATCACGACTATATGGTCGCCTGATTTTATATAAAAATAACACCAGTGTTACCAGGTCTACCGATTTTTCGGTAGATCTGCCGATTTTGGTCCTAGTCTACCGAACTACCGATTTTAAAGCAAAATCTACGGAAAAGTGACTTTCTCTTCAATATAATAATTTTTGTTCCCTATATAAGAGAAATATTTCTGATGCATAGCGATAAAAAGAATGACAAAAGTACTATTATTTTTCGTACTATATATAGACCAGATATAATCTTATTCTCTTTGCCATTGGTGTGCCACATACGCTGATTCTTCACAACTGGGGAATCACCGAAGATACTCGATGATTTGGCTACATGGCCTAGGTTTAGCGGCTCCTGACAAGTCCATGCCTGTATTGTACGATTTGTATGATTAGTAATTCCGAATTCGGCCATCAGTATTAGTATTGCCTGGCTTGAAAAAGCAATAAAAGGCGCGATTATGCGAAATGCATGGTCTGTGATAAAGATATTAATATCAAAAGTGGAAGAGATGCACTTAAAAAACACGCAACTGGGCAATTTCATAAAAAAGTGCAAACCAGCCAAAACTGTTGTCATTTGCAGTTGCAGGTGCATCAAAGAAATTAGAAAATGGTATTAAAGAAGTTAAAATCAATTAATCTATTTGAGAAGATTTGAGATTATATAGATTATTTTATTATTTCCAGGAGAAATTCGTTTGAGGGCTTAGTTTGCCATTCCTGCTGATGGACCATTTGGTAAAGCAAAATTAGTAGATAATATGACTGATAAAAACATACAAAAATGAATAGGAAGAATGATTATCCAATATAGCTTACACATTTTTTATTTTATACACCTTTTCTGTTTTTTTATTAAGAATATTTTATCTTTAGTTAGCTAAAGTGAGATATAAACTGTTTATTTTTGTTTTGTCCTTCTGTTTTAGAGTATATTTTGAGTTAAATAAAACTGTTTTAAGTTATAAGCCTTCATTTACTCTTCGGTATACAATCTACCGAGAAACTACCAAAAAATTCCATACAATTCTACCGAAATATCGTCGACTCCACCTGGCAACTCTGAAGAACACAAATAAAGCAAAAATAAGAACTTGAAGCCTGTTGACCAATATTATTCAATGTTAGCTTGTAGACGGAAACCTAGTTTATTTTGAAGATTTCTATTGTACAAGCACTTAAACACCGTTTAAAATTTTGTAAATTGTGTTTAACTTAAATGATAAATTTTTGCAGCTTAATGATCACCGAATGCATTTTTAGTTAGCATAAATGGATGTTAGTGGTCATGATGATATTTTAAATGATGATTTAGTTATACCTACTTATACCAATAAATAGTGGTTTTCTAGAAGAATTATTACCAAAAGCAAAAACTATTTCCAAGAACAACTAGCGTTTTCCAGGAAACTTAATTTGTACAGCTTTGAATTTGAGTTATCTTCCATCTTTAAAGGAAGTCGCTAGATTTCTGTAGTGTTACAAAACTCAAATTTGACGTAATCTAATAATCATAATTGTACAGTCTATTATATAACATGAAAAACAATTTTTCAGTATTTTCTTCTAGAAAATTTGACCTTTGATTAATAACATATGAACGTAGTTTCAGTTTCGGTTGCAGTCTCGGCGGATTTTCTGCCGAAAGTAAAAGTCCGCTCGGACACCAACCCGTGGTTTGGAGAACATCAGATACAAGTGCCTCATTAAAACCTCGACACATATTTCTTAGTAAAAAGGTTAGGTGGGATTAGTCAATGATTTATATGTATATATATATGAGAGAAATTAATGTTAAATAAGGTTAACATTAACGTCTACATTATGAAGTTCCTCTGTGATTGCTTAAACTCAATTATATTTGAGATTTCACTTTAAACACTTTATCCAAGTAACGAACCTGCTGCAACCAGAAATACTAGAAGATTGAATATTAATTGAGCAAATTTATAAAAATGCCAGAACGAATATTATGTATCACGCATGCGCAGGTCTCGCTAAGCTTATCCACGCTTATGCTAGAACAAACCTATTGGATGGTAGAAGCTTATAACAAAAGATGGCAGCACAATTGCGCTTGTGGTGTCATCTATTAGCAATACTTATTAGGACATACATACTCCTTTAGACTAATCACTTTTTTTATAGTATTTCTTCTCGACAGTAGATAGTAGCACACATTTTATTCTAGCGGCATCTTTATAAAGCTTCTTAAATAATGCTTTGCGTTGTACAGCTACCTTCATGTTACATAATTTATCGTAATCAGATCTCAGATCAGATGGCAGTAAAAAATGAAAACATAACCTTTGACCTTTGACTCCAGCAATTCTGAATTGAGATTTTTGTGATTCTCCTATTTTTATTATAAAACTCTAGTTTATTTTAATTCTTTAAACAATGCACTTGAAAAATCTCTTAGCTTTGCATTCCGGTATTTATAGAATTTTGCGCGACAGATCGCAATTCTTTCTAATAAAAAGAAAATACTGCACTCGACAACCTGAGTCTGTATCAATTGGGGAGATTGTAAAAGAAATAAAATCAGCTGAACGACCAGAATACGTTCCTATAAAGTATTGTAAGTGTACATTGTTTTTAATACACAAGATTGCATTCTAATTATTATTTTAGATAATGATAATATACCTCTAAGTAGCCTTCACCACTTACGATGGATGATGCAAAAGGATATCCTAGGGCAAGACATATTTTTATTAGGCCCTCCTGGCCCTAGAAAGAGGAATTTAGTTATGCAATACCTTGAACTAACAAATAGGGAACATGAATATGTTGCTTTAAGTAGAGACACAACAGAATCAGATTTAAAACAAAGGAGAGAAATTGTACATGGAACAGCAAAATATTTTGATCAGGTAGATTGAAAAAATTGTTCCTGAATTTATTTTTTAAGTAGCCAGAATGCATCCCAGTGGCTTGGATACATGCAACAATTTCCTGGCTAAATTATTTCAATAGTTAAAATATAGGCGAAACATGTAGACAAACTATAGTGATCTAATAGACTTTTTTATTCTGGATAGATACAAATTCACTAATTTATTTAATCCATAACTGAATTATATCATTTTCCAACATCCAGATGTTTAAAACTTAAAACATGTTGCTTATTCTTATATGGAATTTATTCAATAGATATAGATAAATAATTTCAGAGTGCTGTAATAGCTGCAAAAGAAGGAAGAGTATTAGTTCTAGAAGGTATTGAAAAGGCTGAAAGGAATGTGTTACCAGTATTGAATAATTTACTTGAAAATAGAGAAATGCACTTAGAAGATGGAAGACTCCTAATTCCAGCAACAAGATATGATAAGTTGTTAAAGGTGTGTGTTGTATGGTACAGAAATAGAAAAACATTGCTATCAATACCGCAAAGACTTGTAAAAATGACGTTTTTAAGAATTGAATAAAATACTTATTCCCTATTGCTGTTAAGCAGATCTGAGCTTTTGTAATGGTACATTATTTTATTAGATTCAAGTCTAAATACAATTTTATTTTGTTACCTTGAACTTCAATCATCTCAGAACAGCAATTTCAATGTTATATTTAAGGGCACCATTAAGTTCTACAGATTTTTGGAATCCTATAATTTCTAAACATTTTTCACATAATACACTGTATTCAAGTATAATATTTAAGGCAGCAATACTTGGATTCATTTCAAGAAGAAAACTTTATATGAACATGTCCTAAACTTCTTAACATTTGAAATACAGGGTGGTAAAGTTTTAAATATAGTAATTCATAGGCAAGCTAACGGATAAAAAAAATAATCTTTACTCATGACCAGATTTATGATCCCATAAATTTTTTTAGTCCAGTTTACATAAAAAAATGAAATCTATTTCTCTAGTGATATTGTCATATTAACAATATATATTATAATAATGCAGATATGATAAAGTGGAGAGACTATTTTTATTTTTTCAAGTGAAAACTGTGCACTTGATTTAAAAAGTCAACTTTGCTCAGAAGTGGTTCAAGATTTCAAGAATGATTTTTAATTTAATAGAAATAAGTGGCATTCCCAAAACAAAAACATAGTACATTATAAAATTCTATAATGATGTACTACTTACAGATATCCATAAATGTTTTATTTATGTAAACTTTACCAGCCTGTATCTCAAAAGTTAAGATGTTTAGGATTTTCTAGATGGAAGGAAGTTTCGGATCAAAATTAACAATGTGTTGTCAAAAACACGGCCCATAGGAGCTGGTGTTCTTCAGGGTTCAGTCTTAGGACCAATCCTTTATTCACTGTATATACATTAGGTCTCTTGCCCCAGCAACTGTGAAGTCTATCTCTATGCTGACATCACTGCATTGCTAGCCCCGTCTTGTTCTGGTGACCTGGTTCATGACAGGCTGCAGAGTGCGGTGAAGGAAGTACTGGAGTGGGCGGATGGGTGGTTGATCAAAATGAATACTTCGAAAACGCAGGCAATCTATTGTACTAAAAAACGTCGTGGTGCCCCCTCAGAGATATCAGTTAATGGAACTTGTATACCATGGGAACAATCTGTCAGGTATCTTGGAGTCATCATTGGCAAGGGGTTGACCTGGCAGAAACATACTGATATTTTGAAAACAAAATTCAAAAATTACCTTTCGGCAGCTTTATCCTTTGTTGTGCAGAAATTCAAAGTTTAGTTTGATCAACAAGATTCGGTTGTATAAAATGGTCATAAGACCAGCAATCACCTACGCATTCCCGATTTGGTGTTTTCTTGCCAAGACGCACATGCATAGACTGCAAGTCCTGCAAAACAGAATCCTACGCACAATTACTAACGCCCCTTGGTACATGTCAAATGAGACCATTCACAGAGATCTTGATATCCTATATCTGAGGGATTATGTAAAACAACAGGCGCAGCGGCGTTATAATCAAGCGGAATCGCACAGCAACCCCCTGTTGCGAGATTCAGTAGACTACACAGTCGAGCAAGTTCGCAAACATTCCAGACCGCGTCTTGCACTGTGATCAAAATTAAAATCTAAATTCAAACCAGCCAAAATTATTTCAGTATACAAAATAATTCGAGTAGTCAAAGCAATAATGCTTAAGCTATTTTCAATGATTTAATTCTTTTCTTTGCTCTATTTCTTCCTTCCTTTCTTTCCTTCTTTCCCTTTTCCCCTTAAACATGTTTGGTATCTGGGTAGCCAGACCTGTCAGACTAACAGGCCGACGAGACTTTTAACTAAGAGCAAAGGTCCACCGGACCGCTCTGACGAATAGTATATAAGATGTTTAGGACACACGTTCATATGAAGTTTTGTCTTAAAATGCAAAATCCCCTTATTAAATATTGGCATTCAATTAGGAAATATCCTGTACATCCACTTGAAGTATAGAAGATTGTCTTGAACAAAATTATGATCTTTAAATCTGACCAAATCATATTCATCTGTTGTATTGTTAGATATAGAATTGTTACTAGGCCAAGATCTATTGGTAATATAATTTTAAATTATATTGTATTATAGTGAACTTTGAATTATGTCCACTTATTGTGTGATGATCTTGAGGTAATATATAGAACGTTCTAGGAACATGGAGAAGAGGAACTGAAAAAATGGAAACTAGTTAGGGTAGATGAAGACTTCAGGGTGATAGCAGTGGGCTTACCAGTGCCCAAGTAAGTATTCATTTTATATGAACTCGACTTGATAATTAATTTGGAACAATTTATAGATACAGAGGAAATCCACTGGACCCGCCATTACGTTCAAGATTTCAAGCTAGAGATGTTTACATTTGCAGTTATAAGGTAAGTAAATAAGTAATTAATAGAATATTTTCTCCATATTTCATTTTGGTTTTGTTTTGGACAGTATGTTATGCAATTTGGGAGACATTGAAGCATATTGTAAAATCGTTTTTTTTTTTCATAAAAAAATGCAGGGAAGCTTGTCTGTCTAGAGGTCATAGTAACATGTGCCAAAGGCTCATTGAGTGACATGAAGTGTATCTATTTCTGATTGTTTGATGTTAACATTCAGACTTCAGTGGCGTAATTAAAATCAAATTCAATACAAATAACCATTTTCAATTCCTCACTTCTTTGTTGAATTTCTTGAAAACAGTCTCTCTATTAGCCTGTTCCCCAAAATGGCTAAATGTCTCGTTTCTATTTTAAAAATAAATGCGAACTGAAGAAAATACGAATGTGTAGTGCGTAGTTTCTATTACGCACGTTGCCTTGGTTAGGACCATTAAGAAATATCATGTGGTAATTTATGGTCACATGGAAAACAGATTTGTGTCATAATATGTAACCTTAATTTTAAATTCTTACACATGTTTATTAGCTAATAGTGTATGTAAGCCATTGAACATATTTATTTTCTCATTGCACCACCCTCGTAAGTTTCCGCGACCCTCGTCAACCCCAAACAAACAAAAAAGTCGAGATCCGAATGCTACGAATATATTGTCGATGCGCCCGCTTATTGCGGTTTTCTCCGAAATAGCCGTTTTATTTCCGGACCGAATGTCTCCGAATCCGGTCGTCGCTGTGCCGGAACCGACGCTGGCGACGCCGAGCATCGCGACGACGTCAACGGCCTTATCTGCCTCCGCGATCTGCCAATCTCAGGCAGCGTACACGCCGAGTCCCAGTCGTCAGACGTACGTTGCAACATGGTGACCCATTGGGAATCGAGCACCAGACCCCTCTTCCTCAAAACCGTTTGGAAAGATGGGCATCATCACGTGATGCTTCGTAAGGATGAGGTCGCTACGAAGGATACTGGTAGGAAGAGAAGTTCTGCTATACAGCCTCGTGCAGTGAAATCTGCTGTTGTTACGTCCACGACGTCGAATTTGAACGTGTCTTCGGTGAAATTGAGGCTGGGAAGCAGCTTTGAGTGTGATAATAGGAAACCAAAAGCCAAGAGATGCAAAACGAGTACTAAGTATCTTGAAAAGACTCTGAAAGTTACTTCTAGCAGCCCAGCGTCATTCAGAAGTCCCGCTGATGGAGATTGTGCGGATAAAAGTGCGAGCTTAACAGTGAAGTCGCATAGCTTAGACGTTGGTGAAGCAAAATCACGTTTCGCTTACACTTCACCGACTTGTTTGTCATATCACAGCATACTGGAATCGTACAACTCTCTCAGTGACAGAGTACTAATGTGGTTAGATTTGGCTATCCAAAACGGAAACTATAAAAAAGATCTGATTGTAGAGTCGCATCGAGTTACAACGGCGCCTCCTCCAAAACAACAACAAATCACTCAAAAGCCAAAGTTTCATCCGCGTGTTAGCAACTCAGATACTTTCTACATCGAGGGAATTCAATCGCGAATACTCCACTGTTGTGATGAAGCGTCTGAGAAAGAAACTACTTCTCAGTCAGAAGTTATCGTGGATGGGCCACTAATATCTTCAGAACTTGAGGAAAATCTCTTTGCAGATGATATGGACAGTGATAGTTTTGAGCAGGTGATCAACAGGACTAAAAGACAGTTGCATATTTTTATGCCCCACTTACCCAAAAAGTTGAGTGATTGTAATAGTAGCATCATGAGCAGTCAAATAAGTGGATCGTCTTTACGGAAATCTGTGATTGCTTGAAACTGTTCATGAAAAGTTAACCAACATTGACTCATGCTGTGACACTATTAACTAATTGGGAGTTGAGCATCAGACTATTCTTCCTCAATACCGTGTGGAATGATAGGCACCACCATGTGGTGCTCAATAAGGATGATGTCGCTACCAAGGACAGCTAGGAGAGGAGTTTTGTCATCTAACCCAGTGCAGTGAAGTTAGCTAAAGTTTCATCAACGACATCGAATGTGTGCGTGTCTCCAGTTTTGTTGGCGCTTGGAAGCAGTTTTGAATGTACAGTGTGTTAATAGTTACATCATGAATTGAATAGTGATATGGTGGTTTCTGTCTATATAAATATGTGCTTTCGTTACATTTCCTACCACATTTACTTCTTCAAATCATTAAAAGATACTTTGTTTTTCAAACACTGTTTGCAAGGACTGTGAGCGCCGGCCTGTGTTCAGACATTGTCAAGGCACATATATGACAATTGCCCGTTTATTGCGATGGTAAACTTTCTGATTATGCGTCTGATGCGCTGTTTGTACTTCATACATAATATGTGCATTGAAAAAAATAGTAATACGACTAACCATAGATAGCTGTTTCGAGCTATTTGGCAACTCCTCAGCATGGTGTAGGCTTGATCTCGGTGGACAACGAACGAAAGCTGAACAACTCTATTCTATTCAGAGTATAATATTTATCGAAAGACATCACAAAGTGCCATCTATTGTGGTGCGACTTTCAATGCGAACTGGGATACAGTTCCAACATCAGTCAGCTTGATGTGTTCATTTTCGCAGTGATTGGTTCTTGTAACTTTGTGTTGTCTTATTTCGCAATGCGTTCAGATTGTGATAAATGCGCATCAACAGCACCTGAAAAACCACCGTGTGAATGGGCTTAAATCCATTTATCTAATGAAGACATTAAACCAAAACAATAAACAACGCGAGTTCAGTGCGTTGATATATTTCAAGAAACCGGGACCTTAATTGTTATTGAGCAGAATCGATTGAGTCCATATACAGGTCAGATGCCAAACCAGAAAGGTGGAGTGGGAGACGACTCGGCAGTGCATGCATCCCCGCTGGTCCAGTAAAATCCTCGGCAATCTGAAATCCAATCACGTGAAGTATGCGTGGATATGTTTGAGTTTCGATTATTTCTTCAATAACTTGACTGTTGACTGCGTTGTTAAGCTTCTCGTATCAATGCGTTGGTTTAGATTGCTCAAACTCGCGTCAACAGCGCTTGAAGAAAGCGTTGTAACTTAATGCGGTGTAAAGAGTTAAAGGGATTTGAAAACTGTTTGCTTATCTGCTATTAATAACAGGACTATGTTCAAACATATCACAAAAGCGAGAAAAACCATCATAAAATACATACGAAATGATAATAAACTTTAAACTGTTGCAAAGTAATGTTATTAAATCAGCTATTTCCGAATATTATTATCTAGTTAATGATATTTTATGTATATATGTTAGTGTGTTTTGTGTTTTAATGTGTAAGTTTAAATAATATAAATTCAATTTTTTAAATAGTGGTTTTAATTCATGCAATCTATGGAAAACGAATAGAAGATATAAAAATGTTGCGTGTTACAGAATCATTTTATTTTTCTTTCTATCTGGACAAAAAGAGTTAGGTGCTTTTGCTACTGAAGTTATAAAAGTCAGCGTTTTACCTTGTTTAATGAGGATCAGATTAATTATCTTTATTTGTCCTGCAGTACTGCAGCTCCTCGTAAAACTTCACATGAGTCCCATTTCGTGCTCAGTTTATGGCTATTAGTCGATCCGCTAATTTCATATTCAACTTCATGCCCTGTTCAGCTTTGTCCTGAATACCTCAGCTGTTGCTTATATTTGTTTTACGAGATGCTACCGCTGTCATAATCAAGGCAAGTAGAAAGCCGGTGCGTGACGTAGTATCATAACGTAGGAATTCTATTTACCATTTCTTGGATGGTATAGGGCCCCTGTCACTACCTACATAGCAGGAAGATACCTAAATAATAGCTGAGTTGATTCGACTAATGAGTTACTTATAATAAAGATTTTTCTTCGTGTTCTCGTTTTATATATGCTATAATTTCATGGGTGCAGGCAGCGGTATTTTAAAACATGGTATAGAGATGGTGATTGCAATATTGTTCAAGGGCCATAACCATTAGTAAAACTTTATTTAAAAAATTGCTCTAGCTTATAAGATACTCATTTGGTAGGACGTAATTGAAGAATTCTCTGAAGTTATATCTAGAAGTTTAATGGAAATTCACCATTTAGGTTTTGACATATTTGGCTTGGAAGTTGATAAAAATCTGCACCTTTCATCGTATTGGTGTTTACGTATATTATTTCGGTACTGTTGCGTCTTATAGAACTTCGGATTTCACTGTTTTTTCACTTGAAACTTATAGAGGGTAGTCTGATAAATTATTTTACATCATAAAAAGTGTGGATAAAGCACGCTTTTCATGAAATTTTTTTCCCAAAACACTGTATTTTTTAGCTGTTATTTGCCCCATTATTTCCACAGCCATCTACCATATGACACTGTCGTCTGTGGATACTTAGGAAAAAATATGAAAAGTGTAAAATTTATATACATTTATATTAATGAAACACAAAAACAAAAAACTGAAACATACAACAGTAGTAAAATTAAAAGTGATTCTTATTAAGTATAAAACAAAAAATAACAAACAGCAGTAAAATAAAAAACAATTTTAAGTGATTATAAAAGACAAAAAATTAAAATAGTAGTAAAACAAAAAAACAATTCCAGTTAATTATAAAAGAACAAAAAATAACAAACAGTAAATTAAAAAGCAATTTGGATTGAATGAAATTGTTCTTCGTTTTACTACTGGTTTTACTTTTTGTTTTGTGTTGTCACTTAGAATTGCTCTTTATTCAACATGGAATTGATTTTTTTTTTGTTTTACTACTGTTTTTATTTTTTGTTTTTTATAATCACTTAGAATTGCTTTTTATTTCACTGCTGTTTGTTATTTTTTGATTTTTATAATTACATGGAATTAGTTTTTGTTTTACTACTGTTTTTATTTTTTGTTTTTTGTAATTATTTATAATTTATCATTTTTTAGCTTATACTGTTATTTTTTGATTTATACTTATTAGGAAGCGCCTTTTATTTTGCTCTGTTGTTTGTTTCAGTTTTCGTTTTTGTGATTCATTAATT